CATCTGCTGATCTAAAACCCCTCTTCGATCTCCTGGAGGGTGAGCCTCATATCTCCTCACCCAGAAAATTTACCCCTGCCGCCCACCGAGCCTTACAGATGGTGGAAGAGGCCTTACAGGAAGCACAATTACAACGAATTGAGGAGTCACTACCTTTTAATCTGTGTGTTTTTAAGACAGCTCAATTGCCAACTGCAGTCCTGTGGCAACATGGACCATTACTTTGGATTCATCCAAATGCTTCCCCTGCTAAGATTATTGACTGGTACCCTGATGCTGTTGCACAGCTCGCGCTCGCGGAATAAAAGCAGCTGTTACACATTTTGGCAGGGATCCTGATTCCTTGATTGTGCCTTATACTGCTGCACAAGTTCAGACCTTGGCAGCCACATCTAGTGATTGGGCAGTTTTAGTTACTTCCTTTTCAGGACAAATTGATAATCATTTTCCAAAGCATCCAATTTTACAGTTTGCCCTAAACCAGGCTATAGTGTTTCCACAAGTGACAGCTAAAGACCCACTCCCAGATGGGACTGTGGTGTACACTGATGGATCAAAAACTGGTATGGGAGCTTATGTGGTCAAGGATAGGGTTATATCTAAACAATATAATGAAACTTCACCTCAAGTTGTAGAATGTCTGATAGTACTGGAGGTTCTTGAGGCTTTTCCAGGACCCCTCAATATTGTATCAGATTCCTCTTATGTGGTTAATGCAGTTAATCTCCTTGAGATAGCTGGAATAATAAGATCCTCCAGCAGAGTTGCTAACATCTTTCAGAAGATACAAGCTGCCTTGTTAAATAGGAGATTTCCTGTTTTCATTACCCATGTCCGAGCACATTCTGGACTCCCAGGTCCCATGTCCTTAGGGAATGACTTAGCGGACAAGGCTACAAAGCTGGTGGCCACTGCCTTGTCTACCCATGCACAAGCAGCAAAAGAATTCCATAAGCGCTTTCATGTGACGGCTGAGACCTTGCGCCGTCGTTTTGCTCTATCCAGGAAAGAGGCTAGGGAAATTGTTACTCAATGCCAGAATTGCTGCGAATTCTTACCTACTCCCCACATGGGAATAAACCCACGTGGCATTAGACCATTGCAGATGTGGCAGATGGATGTTACTCATATTCCCTCTTTTGGAAGGCTTCAATATGTTCATGTTTCTGTTGACACCTGTTCTGGCGTAATGTTTGCCACACCCCTAACAGGGGAAAAGGCCTCATATGTGATTCAACATTGCCTTGAGGCCTGGAGTGCTTGGGGAAAACCCAGAATTTTAAAAACAGACAATGGACCAGCATATACCTCTCAAAAATTCCGACAGTTTTGTCGGCAAATGGATGTTACCCATCTAACTGGCCTACCTTATAACCCTCAAGGACAGGGCATTGTGGAACGTGCCCATCGTACACTCAAATCATATCTGATTAAACAAAAGGGGAGTATTGAGGATGTTCTACCCTCGGTACCAAGAGTTGCTGTATCCATGGCACTTTTTACCCTTAATTTCTTGAACTGTGATGCCCAAGGCCACACTGCGGCTGATCGCCACAGTTTAGAGCCTGATAGGCCAAAAGAAATGGTAAAATGGAAAGATGTCTTGACTGATCTCTGGAAAGGCCCGGATCCTATTCTTATAAGATCCAGGGGAGCTGTGTGTGTTTTTCCACAGGAGGAAGAAAACCCCCTGTGGATCCCTGAAAGACTCACTCGAAGAGCTCCTTCACAACTCCAGAATAAGAAGGATGGAGGCCAAGTGGGTGATGAAGACTCTCCTACTCGGGATGATGGTTCCTAGTATGATGGGAGAGTTACGGTGGGCCATCATGTCTACCTTCCCCTACCGATGCCAGTGATGCAGAATGCCCAGGTGTTCCCTAGATTTTTCACAAATAATAGAGAGTTGGGGCTTGCCTTTTTGCCTTTAGATCCTCAGATACAGAGTTTTCAGGATGAGAGAACCTTGTCATTAGTAGGAAGCTTGTGCTTTACTGTGATTTCTTCATTAAAGGATAATTTTATTCATATGGATCCAGAAAGATCTAATGCTAATCCTTTTGAATTAATGGAAGCTGTACTGATCTTTCTCCTATGATAGTGAGAAGGGACAGATTGGAAAGGGGCATTAGGCAACAGTCTGAGTGAGGGACAGAGCTCTGGATCATCTGATTGGTCCTCCTCCAATGTTAAGTATACCCCTTTTAAGAGAACTAATTATTCAGCTGCCCTTTATTTGGGTTGTGAGTAATGATACCTTAGGTAAGAATCAGAAAGAAATAAATTGTTCTGCTTAGAATTGTTTTTATGCATTATGCTGGGATGCTATTAAGCACCCTTTTGCTTTGGTAATGCGCATGCCTCGATTTATTCCAGCTCCTGTTGAGGCGCCAAGTAATTTGAGTTTGTTTAGGGAAAAGCGAGATTTTTGGGATCTCTGCTATTATTGTGGGCCTGATAGCCACCGCCGCGGTTACTGCTTCGGTTACCGCCTCGGCCCTTGCACTTTCTGCCACTGTGCAGACAACTCAAACCATTAATGAACTATAGGCCACTGTGACCATGGTCCTAGATAAACAGGCCACTGCCAATTCTCAGATACAAGGAGGCCTGATGTTGGTAAACCAACAGATTAATTTGGTTCAGGAACAATTGGATATATTGTGGCAGATGGCCAAATTGGGATGTGAACAAAGTTGCCTGGCCTTTGTGTCACTTAGTACAATATGAGAATTTTACAAGAGCAGCTAACCTGTCAAAAGCTCTGTCTCAACATTTATTACAGAATTGGACTTTTGAGTTTGAGCAGACACTCCGTGAGTTGAGAATGGCGATCCTGCAAGTGAATTCGACGCATCTGGATCTTTCTCTGATGGAAGGCCTCTCCCCTGGATTTCATCTGCATTTTCTTATTTTAAGGAATGGGTGGGGGTAGGATCATTTAGCCTAGTTCTCTGCTGTGGAATAGTGTTGATGCTTTGGATGGTGTGTACGCTCAGAGCCCAAACAAAAGGAGAAAGTGGTGGTGGCACAAGCACTTGCTGCCTTAGAACACGGAGCATCCCCTGACATTTGGTTAACCATGTTAAAGCAATAGGTCGCTGGCCTCCCAGCTCTTGCACCCCACGAGGCTAGTCTCATTGCACGGGATAGAGTGGGTAGGCTTCAGCAGCCCAAGGAGTTGCAAGGCTAAGCACTGCACAGGAGAGGTCTGCGGTATAACGACTTTCTCCTGGGAGATAAGTCATCTTGCATGAAGGTTCTATGTCATGATCTCCTTCCCCCAGAAAAAAGACATCGGACTGGTCAGGACTTCCTCTGGGGATAAGACCCTGGAGAGGAGCTTTGTACATGTTCCGAATTTGCACATGGGGATTTGACCTCTATCTCCACTCCAAAGTTGTGGGTGTCCTATTGCTTCAAAAATAAATGAATAGGGGGAGATGTGAGGAGCCGCCCTCGCTATCGCTATTGCCGTTAGAAGATGGCGCTGACATCCACTGTCAGTTGGAGTTAACTGTCGCTGTCAGTTGGAGTTAACTGTCGCTGTCAGTTGGAGTTAACCGTTTAAACTGTGCCTCTCCCGTGACGTCATCTGGGGTGATGTGCAAACCACCAATCCCGGCTCTACACGTCTCACTCGGAGCTCCTAGGCTTATATAAGGGGCTGGGTTTCTTAGCTTGGGGTCTCCCTCTAAGAAGCTGATCATCTATCTCTCAAGATGCATTAAAGCTTTACTGCAGAAGGATCCGAGTGTTCTGCGTCGTTCTTGCTGGCGAGACGGTAGCGCGGGACAGGTATACACATGTGTATGTATGGATGTGTGTGCCTATGTATATGCCTATGTGTATATGTGTGTTGTATACATGTACACGTGTATGTGATTATGTGTATATATGTGTGTGGATATGTGTGTCTACAAATGGGTATATATACATGATGTATGTATGCATATGCATGTGTATACATGCATGTATGTGTATGCCTATGTATATGTCTATGTGTATATATGTGTGTAAATGTTTATGCATCTGTATATGTGTGTGTATGTGTACACATGTGTGTATGTATGGATGTGTGTGCCTATGTATATGCCTATGTGTATATGTGTGTTGTATACATGTACATGTGTATGTGATTATGTGTATATATGTGTGTGGATATGTGTGTCTACAAATGGGTATATATACATGATGTATGTATGCATATGCATGTGTATACATGCATGTATGTGTATGCCTATGTATATGTCTATGTGTATATATGTGTGTAAATGTTTATGCATCTGTATATGTGTGTGTATGTGTACACATGTGTGTATGTATGGATGTGTGTGCCTATGTATATGCCTATGCATATATATGCCTGTGGAATATGTATACATACATGTGGGTATATATACATGCATGTATGTATTCATATGTATGTGTATACATGCATGTGTGGGTGTATATGCCTATGTATATGTCTTTACATGTGTGTAAATGTGTGTGTGTGTTTAAGACAGTATCTGAGTCTGCAGTCCTGACTTGTTTCTAATGTACAGTAAGCCTGCCTCAGTTTCCCCTCTCAAGTGCTGGGATTACAGGTGTGAGTCGCCACACCTGGCTTTGGGCTGGCTGTGATGCGCCCCACCCACCGAGAGAGGGCAGCCAGATGGATGGACATTGGGCTCTGTGTAACTGGGGCCTTTGAAGTCTGCACGGAGCATTCACACGCAGTGGGAGCCGACCCCGGTCTGCCTAGGGCATCGGGGGGCAACCGAGTGGAGAAGAGGCTTTTGTGGTCCAGAGTGGGGTGAGCTGGCACTGAGGACTCCAGACACGACCCAACAGAAGGTGCCCAGGACGTCTGAGTGGGGGTTTGAAAGGCGAGGAAGGAGGGTGAGGGACAGGGCAGGGCTTTTAAGCGTGGCACTACTTCCTCCTCCGCCCATTCCAGCGTTAGCCTCTGGCCTCACCAATGGGCTGGCAAAAGAAAAATTCTCAGGTTTAAAGTCCAACGGGCGGAGGTTCCAGACCTAGGACTCCTGTGTTCCCCGCGCAGTAAAGATACATGGCCAGAGCTGGTGGGAACCTTGGGTTCTGGGGGAGCCTGGTGCTACTGGTAAGTTCTCTCCTGCTCAGGGCTGAGCTGGGATCCCAGGGAGGGAGGGAGGCATAGAAGGGGCATCCGCATTCCCAGAGTCGTGGAGACCTCCCTGGCCTTGAAGAAGCAGGGGATGGTCTCTAGTTGGAGAGGGACGGAGCTCTGAGTTTGGAGGGATGCAGACAAGTCTTGCCATACTGGAGTCGGGATGCCGTCGTGTCCGGTGAACATGGCATCAGGCTGCTCGCACACACAGCCCAGAAGCCCAGAGTCTGCCTGCCCTCCTCCACACCCAGAGACCTAAGCCCTAACTTCCCGCACACCCACAGTTCTCCCCCACCTGCCTCCACTCATAGCCTGTCTCCAGAGTTCGTTTTCCATCTCCTCTTGTCCCTCTTGGTCCATGGCTGCCTCCCCCCAGTGCCTCTGGTTATATTTTTCTTTCCCCCAGAAACTGAAAGTCCTTGTGTTATCTCTTGCCCTTATCTGGGAACCAACCTCGGTTCCCGCTTCCCCGGAGCTCCACCTCTGCCATGGGTGACCGTCTCCCTAACCAAGAGCACACGAGTACGGTTGACCTTTATCATACCCGGTTCCTACAAGCCTCTCCTCGGTCAAGGCTCAAGGAGAGCTGGGGGGCAGAGATCAGTAGGTTCTCGGGCAGCGATGCCAGCCCCACCTCCCCATCTCACCTAGCTCAGCGAATTCTTTTCCTACCTGGATCCCTGTAGGTGCTGTCCGGCTTCACTGTGGCCAGGGTGGCTGGTGAGTAAAACCTTCCGCAATCATTGTCCCCGGCAAGAGGTGAGGTCCCGGTGCCCTTGAGTCTGACGGCCCAGGGCGGGCTGAGCACAAGACCAGTCTCTCAACTTGTGGGGAAGGGGTGGTACGGGCGGGCAGGCGGGCGGGCGGGGAGGAAGAATGATGCATGCGTGGTCTGTGCTTTTTAAATTTGAGAGTCTCACTCTAATTTTCAGCTCTAAACCCAGTGAGAAACCTAAAGGCAGAGAACCAGACCAACACCTCCATCACCCTGACCTGGGACATCCCGGAGGATACTGACCCCCAGAACCTGACCTACTGGGTGCAGTGGTTTGAGGATGCCGACAGAAATACTACTCAAAACACAACAGACACCAGTTTCACGGTGGGTGGTCTTGCTCCTGCTTCGTCATACGAATTTTCCGTGTGGGTAGAAAAAGACGGAAACAGAAGTCTCCCGCAGAACCTCAGTGTCTCCACAGGTGAGAGGCAGATGCTTGTAATCGTTCCTCCTTTTGAAGAGACATGTCGTGTATAAGGGGTGACAGGAGAGCCTGGTGGCGCTGGCGGGCAGCACACTCGTTTAATCCCGGCACTCGGGAGGCAGAGGCAGGCGGATGTCTTGTGAGTTCGAGGCCAGCCTGGTCTACAGAGCAAGCTCCTGAACAGCCAGGGTTACACAGAGAAACCCTATCTGAGAGAGAGAGAGAGACAGACAGACAGAGACACAGACACAGACAGAGAGACAGAGACAGAGACAGAAGGTGGCAGATTCCACCATCCCACAGAACTGGAATGAAATCCATACCGACAGTTCTCTGGGTTTTATCACCCACACTGAATAGAGGAAAATAGATACAGGTGACGGGGACCCTCCCAGTTCATGCAGCCCAGAGGGCCCCAGAGGTCCCCAGAGGGCCCCTTCCTTTATATTGTGAGCATAAGGGGAGCATGAAACTGGTGTTCCTAATTCCATACTAAACTATTCCTGGCTCCCTGGGCTTCGGCTGGCCACACCTCAAGGGCTCCCCCGTCACACAAGGCTCGTGCCTCTCTGCTGGACTACCAACTGGTCTCAGTCACCCCACCCCTACCACGGGGCCCATGACTTACAGAAACGTGAGGACCAGCAACAGCTGACCTTCCCCTCGGTCCCCATTTGCAGCCCCAAGCCCAGGGCAATGAAGGACAGAGAGGGCAACTACTTACTGCACTGCCTTGTTTTCACCTTGTGACCTGGTTGGGTAGGGAGTCATCTGTAGAAGCAGAAGCAGGTAGCTGTGTCATGGAATACAGGGACTTCTCCTCCCCAGCAGCCCTGGACTGCCACGGGCTCCCTTAGGTAGCGTCTCACGGGTACACGCTCCACTTAGGCCATTAATCTTTGTGGTTGTTGTTTTTGTTTTGAGACAGGGTTTCTGTGTGTAACAGTTTTGGCTGTCCTGGAACTCGCTCTGTAGACCAGGCTGGCCTCGAACTCACTTAGATCTGCCTGCCTCTGCCTCCCGAGCGCTGGGGATTGAAAGTGTTCGCCACCACGGTAGGTCATTAATCTTGCCTGGGCTTTCTGCCTATGGCCATAACGGCTGGCCTGCTCCCCCTCCCCCATCTTCTGTCACTGACACTCCCTTCACCTCCTTTCCATGGTGTTTCTGAGCCTTGGAGGGGATGACAGGTGTGGCTTCAACATGTCAACCATCCTCCACCAGGCTCCGTGTTAACCACCGTCGCTGCAAATAGCGGCTTCTTTAACCAAGGCCGAGGAGCCGTGAAAGTCCCTGGGACCAGTCGGCGCACTGGCTCCCATGTGGATTCTGTGGGCTTCTGCATGTCCAAACCATGCTTCGTTCTTTTTTTTTTTTTTTACTTTTTTTTTTTACTTTTTTTTTTATTTTCCATTTTAAATTTAGATAAGAAACAAGGTTGCTTCACAAGTCAGTACGAGGTCCCTCTCCCTTTCCCTCCCCTCCTCCCGTGCCCTCCCCCCATACCCCCCCCCCCGCATGCTTTGTTCTTACATTGATTAATTAATTAGAGACAGGGATTGGCTTTGTAGCCCATGTTGTTGTGGAACTCACTATACAGAGCAGACTGGCCTTGAACTAACTAGCCATCTCCCAAGTGCTGGGATTAAAGGGATGTGCCACTATACCTAGCTGATTGATTTATTTTTGTGTATGCATATGTGTGTGTGTGTGTGTGTATGTTGTGTGTGTGGTGGCCAGAGCTTGTTGTCAGCTGTCTTCCTTTGTGAATAAGTACCTTGTTTCTTTTTACTATTTCTTAATTTATTTATTGCTGTCATATTTACGTGTTTTTGTGTGCACACTCAAGCGTAGATATAACACCACATCCCCAGTCTGGAGTTCACTATGAAGCCCAGGCTGTCCTTGAACTTACAAAGTTCTCCTGCTTCAGCCTCCCAAACTATGAGATTGTAGGCACAAACCACATAGGTTTCACAGATTAAGAAAATTTGGAGACAAATAACCCTCCCTACTGCTTTTATTTTCAGCCCCAAACCCAGTGGGAAACCTAAGGGTGACACATCAGACCACCAGCTCCATCAGCCTGATGTGGGATGTCCCTGAGGGCCACCCCTCCCAGGACCTCACCTACTGGGCTGAGTGCAGCAGAGGAGGTGGCAGTAATGCTACCCGGGACACACCAGACACCAGTGTCACCGTGGATGGACTGGATCCTGGCTCTTCCTATGAATGTTCTATGTGGGTGGAGAGAGATGGGCTCAACAGCTCCATCCAGACTCTAAATGCCTCCACAGGTGAGAGTGGACACTGTCTCCTTTCTCTCCCCTCCTCCCGGTTTTCTGGCCTGAACCTCAGGACCCTCCTGCCCGTGCTTCCTGGACGCCTGCAGTGTAGGTGTACATTGTCACACCTCCCTGACGATTTAAAAAGATTTTATCTGTCTTTATCTTGTGTATATGTTTTGCCTGCCCTTGCAAGAGCACCAGCCGCATGCATCGTGCTTGGGGCCAGAAGAATGTGGAGGGTTCATTGGAAGTTAGATGCAGTTGTGGGCTGCCCGGGGATGCTGGGAACTGAACCTGGGTCCTCTGCAAGAGTAGGAATGCTGGGAGCGCTCACCCATCTCTGCAGCCTCTCATCTGGTCTCTGACCCTCTGATGGAAACGGTGTGTGGTTACAGGGTGTTTGGGAGCTGACAGAGGAAGGTGACAGAAACAGAAAGGAAGCCACAAACACACACTCCAGTCTCTGTCAGCCACTCTAAGACACAGGACAAACACACACTCCAGTCTCTGTCAGCCACTCTAAGACACAGGACAAACACACACTGCAGTCTCTGTCAGCCATTCTAAGACAGAGGACAAACACACACTCCAGTCTCTGTCAGCCACTCTAAGACACAGGACAAACACACACTCCAGCCTCTGTCAGCCACTCTAAGACAGAGGACAAAAAAGAGAAAGATGCCGAGATCTTCATGAGAAACTCTTTTTTCTTTTTGGATTTTTGACACAGGGTGTTACTGTGTAGACTTAGATTTGTCTTGAACTCACAGAGATAGATCCTCCTGCCTCTGCCTACCAATGCTGGAGTTAAGGCCAGTGACACCACTGCCCAGCTTCATGAAATTTTTGTAAGATCTAGAACATCTCACTTGTTCTTGCAACCAATATTTATAAAAGCAATGAGGCTGGGCATGGGGATACCATTTTTATAAATTTTTTTTTTGGTGTTCGAGACAAGGTTTCCCTGTGGCTTTGGAGGGTGTCCTGGAACTCGCTTGGTAGTCCAGGCTGGTCTCGAACTCACAGAGATCTGCCTGCCTCTGCTTTCCGAGTGCTGGGATTAAAGGCGTGAGCCACCAATGCCCGGCCTCATTTTTATAATTTTTAAAGATTTATTTACTATGAATACAACAGCCTGCCTCCATGTCGGTCTGCAGGCCAGAAGAGGGCTCCAGATCTCATTATAGATGGCTGTGAGCACCATGTGGTTGCTGCGAATTGAACTCAGGACCTCTGGAAGAGCAGTCAGTGCTCTTAACCTGTGAGCCATCTCTCCAGCTCCAACATTTTATTATTTTTCTTTCCTTCTTCTTCCTTTGAACAAGATCTTACTATATAGCTCATGCAGGCCTCAAATGTGTAGCAATCCTCCTGCCTCAGCTTCCCAATTCCTTAGAACTGGATTTCCAGACACGAGTTACCGTGCCTTCCTAGGTCTGGCATTAGTAATCCAGTGATGAAATTTTCCCAAACTGTGCAATAACTCTCACTGGCATCCCAGTGCCCACCACCCACATGCTAAGAGTTCAAACAGCAAATGGAAAGTGGCTGCCTTACTGGACATTCTAGGTCTCCATCAATCCACCTCTGTCACTGTGTCCTGAAGGGTAGAAGATTGAGGACCAGGAGCACCACCTCATGTCCCCTTCTGTCTCCAATGCAGCTCCAAACCCAGTGGGAAACCTAAGGGTGACACATCAGACCACCAGCTCCATCAGCCTGATGTGGGATGTCCCTGAGGGCCACCCCTCCCAGGACCTCACCTTCTGGGCTGAGTGCAATAGAGAAGGTGGCAGTAATGCTACCCAGAACACACCAGACACCAGTGTCACCGTGGATGGACTGGATCCTGGCTCTTCCTATGCATGTTCTGTGTGGGTGGAGAGAGATGGGCTCAACAGCTCCATCCAGACTCTAAATGCTTCCACAGGTGAGAGCGGTCACTGTCTCCTTTCCCTCTCCTCCTCCCGGTTTTCTGGCCTGAACCTCAGGACTCTCCTGGCCGGACTTCCTAGACGCCTGTGTTACAGGTGTGCACCATCCATAATACCACCTTGACTCTTTAAAAAGATTTTCTATCCACTTTTTAAATGTATTTTAGTGCTTTGCCTGCCCATGTGCAATGCACGGTCCTTGGGGCCAGAAAAATATGAAGGGTCCATTGCAAGTTAGCAGACAGTTGTGACCTGCCCGGGGATGCTTGGAACTGAACCTGGGTCCTCTGCAAGAGCAGGGAATGCTGGGAGGGCTCACCCATCTCTGCAGCCTCTCATCTGGTCTCTGACCCTCTGATGGAAACGGTGTGTGGTTACAGGGTGTTTGGGAGCTGGCAGAGGAAGGTGACAGAAACAGAAAGGAAGCCACAAACACACACTCCAGCCTCTGTCAGCCACTCTAAGACACAGGACAGACACACACTCCAGTCTCTGTCAGCCACTCTAAGACAGAGGACAAACACACACTCCATCTCTGTCAGCCACTCTAAGACACAGGACAAACACACACTCCAGCCTCTGTCAGCCACTCTAAGACAGAGGACAAGAAAGAGAAAGATGCCGAGATCTTCATGAGAAACTCTTTTTTCTTTTTGGATTTTTGACACAGGGTGTTACTGTGTAGACTTAGATTTGTCTTGAACTCACAGATAGATCCTCCTGCCTCTGCCTACCAATGCTGGAGTTAAGGCCAGTGACATCACTGCCCTGCTTCATGAAATTTTTGTAAGGTCTAGAACATCTCACTTGTTTGTGCAGCCAATATTTATAAAAGCAATGAGGTTGGGCATGGGGATACCATTTTTATTATTTTTAAAGATTTATTTATTATGAATACAACGGCCTGCCTCCATGTCGGTCTGCAGGCCAGAAGAGGGCACCAGATCTCATTATAGATGGTTGTGAGCCACCATGTGGGTTCTGGGAATTGAACTCAGGACCTCTGGAAGAGCAGTCAGTGCTCTTAACCCGTGAGCCATCTCTCCATCCCTGACATTTTATTAGTTTTCTTTCTTTCTTCTTCCTTTGAACAAGATCTTACTATATAGCTCATGCAGGCCTCAAATGTGTAGCAATCCTCCTGCCTCAGCTTCCCAATTCCTTAGAACTGGATTTCCAGACACGAGTTACCGTGCCTTCCTAGGTCTGGCATTAGTAATCCAGTGATGAAATTTTCCCAAACTGTGCAATAACTCTCACTGGCATCCCAGTGCCCACCACCCACATGCTAAGAGTTCAAACAGCAAATGGAAAGTGGCTGCCTTACTGGACATTCTAGGTCTCCATCAATCCACCTCTGTCACTGTGTCCTGAAGGGTAGAAGATTGAGGACCAGGAGCACCACCTCATGTCCCCTTCTGTCTCCAATGCAGCTCCAAACCCAGTGGGAAACCTAAGGGTGACACATCAGACCACCAGCTCCATCAGCCTGATGTGGGATGTCCCTGAGGGCCACCCCTCCCAGGACCTCACCTTCTGGGCTGAGTGCAATAGAGAAGGTGGCAGTAATGCTACCCAGAACACACCAGACACCAGTGTCACCGTGGATGGACTGGATCCTGGCTCTTCCTATGCATGTTCTGTGTGGGTGGAGAGAGATGGGCTCAACAGCTCCATCCAGACTCTAAATGCTTCCACAGGTGAGAGTGGTCACTGTCTCCTTTCCCTCCCCTCCTCCCGGTTTTCTGGCCTGAACCTCAGGACTCTCCTGCCCTAACTTCCTGGACGCCTGTGTTACACGTGTGCACCATCCATAACACCACCTTGACTCTTTAAAAAGATTTTCTATCCACTTTTTAAATGTATTTTAGTGCTTTGCCTGCCCATGTGCAATGCACGGTCCTTGGGGCCAGAAGAATATGAAGGGTCCATTGCAAGTTAGCAGACAGTTGTGGGCTGCCGGGGATGCTGGGAACTGAACCTGGGTCCTCTGCAAGAGCAGGGAATGCTGGGAGCGCTCACCCATCTCTGCAGCCTCTCATCTGGTCTCTGACCCTCTGATGGAAACGGTGTGTGGTTACAGGGTGTTTGGGAGCTGGCAGAGGAAGGTGACAGAAATAGAAAGGAAGCCACAAACACACACTCCAGCCTCTGTCAGCCACTCTAAGACACAGGACAGACACACACTCCAGTCTCTGTCAGCCACTCTAAGACACAGGACAAGAAAGAGAAAGATGCCGAGATCTTCATGAGAGACTCTTTCTTCTTTTTGGATTTTTGACACAGGGTTCTCTGTGTAGCCTTGGTTGTCCCGCAACTCTCTTTACTCTAGGTTGGCCTTGAACTCACAGAGATCCTCCTGCCTCTGCCTCCCACGTGCTGGGATTAAAGGCATGCTCCAGCACTTCCCAGCTTCATTTGATTTTGGAAAGATGTCACCATCTTATTTGTATGAGTAATGTATATTTAAAGAGCAATAAGGTTGGTTTTGGGGGACATTATATTATATTTTCCTCCTTCCTTCTTCCTTTCAACATGATCTTACTATATAGCCTCTGCTGGCCTCAGATGTGTAGCAATCCTCCTGCCTCAGCTTCCCAAGTACTGGATTTCTAGACACGAGTCACCATGCCTTGCTAGGTCTGGCATTATGAATCCAGTGATGAAATTTTCCCAAACTGTGCAATAACTCTCACTGGCATCCCAGTGCCCACCACCCACATGCTAAGAGCTCAAACAGCAAATGGAAAGTGGCTGCCTTACTGGACATTCTAGGTCTCCATCAATCCACCTCTGTCACTGTGTCCTGAAGGGTAGATGGTTGAGGACCAGGAGCACCACCTCATGTCCCCTTCTGTCTCCAATGCAGCTCCAAACCCAGTGGGACACCTAAGGGTGACACATCAGACCACCAGCTCCATCAGCCTGATGTGGGATGTCCCTGAGGGCCACCCCTCCCAGGACCTCACCTACTGGGCTGAGTGCAGTAGAGAAGGTGGCAGTAATGCTACCCGGGACACACCAGACACCAGTGTCACCGTGGATGGACTGGATCCTGGCTCTTCCTATGAATGTTCTGTGTGGGTGGAGAGAGATGGGCTCAACAGCTCCAAGGTGACTGTCTATAACTCCACAGGTGAGAGATGATACCCTTGTATTCTTTTTTCCTTAATGGGATGTGGTGAAATGTGACAGGAGGCCAGGGCATGGTTCATGATTCAACAGAAATAATGGAATTCACACATCCAGATGGATATATATATATATATATACATATATATATGTTAGATGATATATACATAGATGATACATAGACAGTTGATAGAAGATAGATGATAGATAGATATATAGATGATAGATACATTGATGATAGATAGATAGATAGATAGACAGACAGACAGACAGATAGATAGATAGCACTACTGGAAGTTCAACACAAGGCTTCATGCTTCCAAGGCAAGAATGATACTAAGTTGCTGTGTGGTCCACGCTGGATTCAGTCTTCAAAGTGCTGGAGTGCAGCCATTTCCGCTCATTTGTCTGCAAGGACAGTTGTTGGTGATGCCTGAAATGGTTAGGAGAGCATGGCCAACCATCTAGCAATGGGGCCATTAACGGTAGAAGACAGGATCTGTCTTGGAGAAGTCTTGGCTCAAGGAAGGAAGAGTTGTTGCAGCAATTGTAGCTTCTGGCTGGGGCTGGTTAGGATGCAAGACTTGATGACAGTCCAGAATAGCAAGATGTGTGTGTGTGTGTGTGTGTGTGTGTGTGTGTGTGTGTGTGATATCACATTTTCTTATCAATTTTTCTATGGAGGAACCTCTAAGAGGGCTCTGTATCTTGGCTATTGTGACCAGTGTAGCAGTAATCACGGATGTGAAGGTATCTCTTTGGAATGCTGACTTCAAACCCAGGTCACGTGTGGAGGTGCAGACCTGTAATCCCAGCTCTCAGGAAGGGGAGGCAGGAGGATCATGAGTTCAAAGTCCCTCTGGCTGTGTATCAAGTTGGAAGCTAGCCTAGCCAATGTGAGACCTTATAAGAAGACAAAACAACAAGGCTCCTTGGGGTGTCCACCTGGGCAGGGGGTGTGTATTTGAGTGATACGGAGATTCTCGTTTTGGTTTTCTAAAGAACTTCCGTACTGGTTTCTACAGTGACTGAACCAGTGGACACACCCACGTAGGCTCCATTCCTTAACCCCTCAACTCTTCCATCCCACTGAGCTGGGATCCTCGCTACCTCCTGACTGGGCCATGGGAACACTGTGGCAGGTTCTGACAAGGAGAACCAAAATCACTCCAGAGACTTGTTTCATTGTTAATGTGTTGTGTCCAGACTCCGGAGCCCCCAAACCAGCAGGAGACCAGATCTGGTGCAAAAGCAAAGAGTCTTTTTAATTACAAGTTAATTCAGGTCCTCCATCCGTTGGACACAGCGAGTGTAGTAGGAGGCACCACTTGCAGCAGTGGGCGGAGCATATATTAGGGGTAGAGCAAGGGGCGTGACTGGGCATCTTCTAGTTGCATAATGACAATCTCAGAATTGGTGCAACTCTGGGCTGGGAGAACTTGTCCTGAACTGATTGGCCAGCTGCAGCTGCAGAAATGTTGCTGCTCCCGGAGGCCATCTGAGGCCTGTTGCAATCTACTGCATTCCGCTATTTTCCATAGAGCACATCCAAAGCCCGCCTGCTAACTTCTGATTGGTTCCTTACCACATGGAGGCTGTCTGGCAGTTTCTTCCCAGTAATTAGGGAAAGGTCGGGCAAGGAGGGGCGGGGGAGGTGGAGGAAGGCGGCACTCAGCACCTCCTGCTGAGCTAGGGGCCTACATCTTGCTGGGTCTCTTCTGCAGTCTGTCCTGGCCGTCAAAGCAGGGGTCTGGGTGAGGGTCTGGGCCCTTCAGATGTATGGACGCTTCAATCCTTGGTCTTCGGGGCTGAGACTTTCAAAATTAGTAGCTTCCTCTAGCCACTTGGTGTGTTTAAGAGTAAGAAAAGGTCTGTCTTTGGGCGGAAGCGGGACAGGCAATTTGAAAAGGTCAGACTGTGGGGCGAGAGAGGTAACTGGACCACCCCATCATGCCACAGGGCCAGGGCTTCCTAGATTGAGGTACAGAGATTCCAAGACCTCAAGGGAGCTGTAGTTTGAGGTGACTGTAAGTGATGAATGAGACCCAGCGTGAAACGGACAGAGAGATCTCAGATGATCATGTGTCTAGGTTCTTTCTGTCACTGGAGTCACTGATGACCAGAAACTCACTACGTGGCTCAGGTCAGCCTTGAACTCATGGCAGTCTCCTGCCTCAGCCTCCCAAATACTAGGATTACAGGTGTTAACCACGGTGATTGTCTGGGGAGGGGGCCCTCTGCGTCCACAACCCTCCCCAATGAGGTGACAGAGCTACAGAATAAAAGCAGTACCAACAGCTCCGTGACCTTGATATGACATGCTTCCGGGGACCCCTACTCTCACAACTACAACCACTGGGTCCATGGGCAAGTCAGGAAGCGTCCCAGAGAAGCAAGATGCCATAGGATATGAGCAAAAATCCAAGGCTAATCCCAGCGAGACTTGGTATGACGTCTAGAGGCTCAGGTCTCGCACTTTGTACAGCTTTAGGTTGTAGACAGGGAGGAGATTTCAGTGAACTCTCTGTTTCTGTCTGTCTGTCTTTGTCTGTCTGTCTCTCTCTGTCTCTGTCTCTGTCTGTCTGTCTCTGTCTCTCTGTCTCTCTCTGTCTCTGTCTCTCTCTGTCTCTCTGTCTCTGTCTCTCTGTCGCTGTCTCTCTCTCTCTCACTCTCTCTTATATTTTGAGACATGGTTTCTCAGTGTAACAGCCCTGACTGTCCTGGAACTCACTCTGTAGACCAGGCTGGCCTCAACCTCACAGAGATCCACCTGCCTCTGCCTTCCGAGTGCCCGGATTAAAGGTGAGCGCCACCACAGCCCAACACTAAAATATTTCTAAAGGGAGAAAAAAAAAATATGAGTGGACTACAAGTTCCATAATGCCATCGAGTTGGGACTGCCTACATTATGTGATACGGAGTTCAAAGCATTGTGGGGGTTGTAGTCTGGGAGGACTTCAGTCTTCTGGGGATTGGAGAAGATGAACTGTTTGGGTTTGGAGAGGAGGGGTGGCCTGCTCTCAGAGAGTTGGTGGTGCAAATCCAGGCGCCGTCGGTGGGTGCCTCAGACTGACTGCCTTTGTTTCCTTTGCTCAGAGCCAGCTGCTGTCAACAGCATCTCCTGTGTCAGCATCTCTGGGGGCTACGGGCTCTTCCTGAACTGGTCCTGCCCATCCGGGGGCTATGACACCTTTGAGGTGGAAGTGGGCAGACAAAGGAGCTCCCAGAAAGGAGATCTGTGTGGGAAGGGCGTGTCTGTGTCAGACCTTGGGCCAGCTCAGTCCTACACGGCCACCGTCACGACTGTCTCGAACGGACTGAAGGCCCCTTCCTTCTCTGTGACCTGCTACACAGAGAGCGCGGGTGAGTTTTCAGATCTGGCCGTGAGGGGAAGGCATGGGGTTTGTTTTTGTTGTTATTGTGTTTTGTTTTGGTCTGTCTGCCTTTTGTTTTCTGATTTCTGTCTCTCTTTCTTTCTCATTGAGTGTGTACATGTGTCTGCAGGTTCATGTGTACACGTGTGCATGCATGTGGCCAGACGACAATCTTGGCTTTTGTTCATGTAGCATCTCCATGAAAAAACTTTTTAAGATTTATTATTTATTTATTATATACACAGCGTTTTGCTTCTGTAGGCAGAAGAGGGCACCAAACTGAATGATGGACAGCTGTGAGCCACCGTGTGGGGGCTGGGACTTGAACTCAGAACCTCAGGGAGAGCAGCTGGTGCTCTTTTAACTGCTGAGCCATCTCTCCAGCCCCCATGAAAAAATTTTAATAAGGTTTTCTTTTTTTTTTCCCGAGACAGGGTTTCTCTGTATTGCTTCGGAGGCTGTCCTGGAACTCCCTCTGTAGACCAGGCTGGTCTCGAACTCACAGAGATCCTCCTGCCTCTGCCTCCCGAGTGCTGGGATTAAAGGTGTGTGCCACCAACGCCCGGCGATAATGTTTTTATTATTTATTTAATTGATTGATTGAGTTGTGTGTGTGTGGCGTGCGCGCACCACGTTGCACGCGTGGAGGTCCTAAAACAAATTGCAAGAGTCAATTATTTCCTCCCACAATGTGGGTCATGGGGATCTAACCCAGTTCCTTAGGGCTGGTGGCAGGCACCCTCACCCCCGATCCACCTCCACATTTATTTATTTGTTTTTTCTTTTTGAGACGTGGTCTCTCATTGACTTGATGCTGACCAGGCAGGGCTGTGCTGGTTGCGTACCCAGCTCCAGGAATCTGCGTGTCTCTCCCAAGCCAGACACATCGTAGGGCGAAGGCGCTGGTTTCCAAGTCTGATGACTTGAATTAATCTCCAGGGACCTACACAGCGGAAGGAGACAACCGGCTCCTGAAGTTTGTCCTCTGACTTCCCCTTATGCATGCACCCTGACATGCGTGCACACAGAGGGAAAGAAAATAGATAAATAGACGTAATTAAAAAAATAATGCATTTGGATCTGTGCCCAGGAAGGAGGGCTTCGTCCGGAAGCATGGTTTTGTCTCTCATCTCTTTCCGTCTTCATTGTGGGGCCTCTCAGCAAAGAGCTGGCTGAGGACAGAGACGGCAAATCGGCAGACAGGTCGGAGGACCTGAGTTCAATCCCTGGGATCCATGTGGTGAAAAGAGGAGACTGGGCAAAAAATTGTTCTGTGCCGGGCGTTGGTGGCTCACGCCTTTAATCCCAGCACTCGGGAGGCAGAGGCAGGCGGATCTCTGTGAGTTCGAGGCCAGCCTGGTCTACAGAGCGAGTTCCAGGACAGCCTCCAAAACAATACAGAGAAACCCTGTCTCGAAAAAACAAAACAAAACAAACAAACAAAAATTGTTCTGTGACTTCTACACACACATGCCATGTCACATGGAGCCACAGGCACGAGTGGTGGCCGTTACCATAGTCGTCGTCATCATCATCTTCATCATCGTCTCTCCTCGTGTCTTGTTGCAGGGGTCATTGCAGGAACCATCGTGGGAGTCCTCCTGTTCCTAATCCTCCTGGGCCTCCTGATTTTCTTCCTGAGGAGGAGGTGAGACTTGGAACAGGGCTGGTGGGTACTTGGCTAGTGGGCGCCCTGCAGGGAAGATGGGGTTCTCTGGTCCAGGCTGGAGATTCACATCCCCGTGTCTTTATTCCAAAAGAAAGAAGATCCAGGAGAAGGAAGTGCCCGCGGATCTGGTGTTCAGGTGAGCGGGGCCGGGAGAGCATCTGAGCTAAGGCGAGGGGCATTTGCTGCTCACTGGATAGGTCACAGGGCAGAACTCAGGAGGTCTCGGGAGGGATTGTGACCCCTGCAAGGGACCACATCTCATTCATGGAGACCCAGCCTAGAATCAGTTCTTCTTCTTTTTTTTCTTTAAACATTATATTTGTTGTTCTTCAAGAATTTCATCCATATATGCAATGTGATTTCATCGGATTCAGCTTAATTTTACATTTTATTTATGTGTGTTGGTTGGAAGTTTCGGTCCCACGAGCTGATCCCAGGTCACCACACAGAGGCTTAGTATTAATTATAAGTGCTCAGCCAATAGCTCAGGCTTGTTACCAGCTAACTCTTACATCAGAATTAGCCCATAGTTCTTATCTATGCTTTGCCACGTGGCTTGGTACCTTTTCTCAGTACGGCATGCCCATCTTGCTTCTCTCTGCATCTGCGGGCGACTCCTCTGACTCTGCCCTTCATCCCAGCATCCTTAGTTTGGTTGTCCTGCCAATGCTTCCTGCCGGTCCTTTATTAACAATGAGAGTAGTGTGTATGCACAGTGCACAGAGGGGTGATTCCACAGCTTATGTGTGCCAGTGTTTTACCTGCATGTATGTCTGTTTGCTACTCGCAGTCTTGGTGCCAGAGGGGGACAGAAGTGGGCATCAGATCCCATTAGAACTACATACAGATGCTTTTGAGTGGCTGTGTGTGTGTGTGTGTGTGTGTCGGGAAGATCAGCCAGCCTTTTAAACACTGAGCCATGCTTCCAGTCCCCTCCTAACTGTTTTACGTTTATTTATTTGTGTCCACATACTGCAGGGGTCAGGGAACTTCTTGTGGGAGTCGGCTCTCTCTGCCTCTCTCTTTTTGTAAAGATGTATTTATTATACATACAGTATTCTGCTTGCGTGTATGCCTACAGACCAGAAGAGGAGGGCACCAGATCTCACCATGTGGTTGCTGGGAATCGAACTCAGGAGCTAAGGAAGAGCAGCCAGTGCTCTTAACCTCTGAGCCATCTCTCCAGCCCGGGCTCTCTCTCTTTCAGGGATAAACTCAACTTGTGTCCTAGCACCAGGAAGTGCTGGAAAGCAAGATGATGTAGACTACGCTCTATGTGTGGAGTCAAGAAGAGAGGGGAGGGAGAGGTTGAGGAACACACTGTACAGGCGTTACAACTAGAGGAGGAGGTGGGATGTGGTGGTACCCACCTTTAATCCCAACGGGCAGGCGAATCTCTGAGCCTACAGAAGACAGCCAGGGCTGTGAGGAGGAGGAGAAGCGGGAGGGGGAGGAGGAGGGGAGGCGAGCAAAGATCTAAAGGAAGCCGGAAGGGTTTGGGACAGTTTTAGGATGCCCTGTAATGTACCAGGAAGATGGAAAAGAGATGACTGTTAAGGACTCAAACAAGAGCATCTTGATGAGTGAGTCTATTAGAGATTACTTACAGAACCCTGGATGCCTGTAGAAGGCTGCATTCCCGGAAAATCACCATCATACTTGCAGAGACCACCACGCTCCTAGTTTGAGACCGGGCTAGAGCCGGAAGGACGCAAACCCAGGCCTTGAGCGCCACCGTGTGGGAAAACAGAAGCGACTACAGGCTGCCTTTAAAGAAGGGAACGCACGAAGCCAGACTCTGGGAGAGTTTGTGCAACCAGGTTTCTGCCAGGGATCCCGACAGCCTCATAAAACTCCGTCAGTTTGCTTTATGGAAGTCTCAGATAAAGAACAGACAAATGAGTTACTCTGGCTAGGGCCGAGACCAGTCTCGTACACGGGGTGAGAGCTCTCCCGCTACACGGACAGGTAGCTGCGCTCTGGGTGCTTAGGGAACATGGTGCATCTTTGGGGTTGGGTGGTGTCAGGGAGTGACGCCAGATAGGTGGCAGGCAGAGTCTTATAGGAGAAAGCAAGGATGCACTTCTGAGAGGGAAGTTTGGAGAGGGTTTTCTGTTTAAGATTTTATGTTATTATTTTTTACGTGTAAGCCTGCTCTGCCTGCATGTATGTATGTGCACCACGTGTGTGCAGTACCGGCAGATGACAGAAGAGGGCGTTGGATCCCAAGAACTGGAGTCCCAGGTGGTTATAAGTCATTATGTGGGTGCTGGGAGTCAAAGCCAGGACCTCAGGAAGAGCAGCCAGTGCTCTTAACCCCTAAGCGGTTTCGACAGCCCGCCGTCTTCCTTTTAAAGGCAGAATACTCCCCTGTGTGGGTAGACCACATTTGGTTCATCCATCCGTTCACTGGTGATGGCTCTTGTTCCATTAAATGTTTTAAATTGCATTTATGGTGAGCGTGGTGTGTGTGTGTGTGTGTGTGTGCTTGTGTGTGTGTGTCATATCCATTCATTCATTGATGGACGTTTAGATGTTGTTTCCGTTAAATGTTTTAAATTACATTTACGGTGTGCATGCGTGTGTGTGTGCATGCGTGTGTGTGTGTGTGTGTGTGTGTGTGTGTGTGAGTTGGTCCTCTCTTTCTACCCTGTGGGTCCTAGATACCAAACTCGGGTAGTCAAGTTTACCTGTTAGTGTCTTTGCCTGCTGAGCCATCTTGCTCATCTTGTTGGCTCTTGTCCTGTTGTTTTAGAGGCAAGGGTCCATTATGTAGTCCAGGCTGGCCTTGAACTCCTGGTGCTCCTCTTGCCTCCGTGTCACAAACACTGGGTTCCGATTGCGCGTGACCATGCGTGGCTAGTATTGCTTGCACCTTTTTGCTGTTGTGAGCCACGCTGTTGCGATTGGTGGTGAACCAATGACCTTTGAGATTCTCCTTGCTCTGGCAGATTTACTCAGACGTGGCATTGCTGGGTCAAAACCATTGGAGCTCGCCCTGTAGACCAGGCTGGCCTCGAACTCACAGAGATCCGCCTGCCTCTGCCTCCCAAATGCATGAGGCTTCGTTTGCTTTCTTATTTCATGGAGTGTGTGTGATGTGTGGATGTGAGAAGACTTATGTTCTTCCCGCCAGCCTGGTCCCAGAGGCGCGTCAACCCCAAATAACACACAGGACGCTATATCAATTATGAAGCTGTTGGCCATTTGTTATGGTTTCTTATTGGCTAGCTCTGACTTAATTATTAATCCATAACTGCTAAGCTAAGTATTTTCACGTGGTCTTCTCTTACCGGAGAAAGGGTCTGAACCTCTTACTTCTCTCTCGTCTTACATCATGACTGACTGCGCTTCTCTTTCCCAGAATCCTCTTGGACTCCTAGTCCCACCTATCTTGCTTGCCTATTGGCCAACAGCGCTTTATTTATCAACCAATAAGACAGACATATACACAGAAGGGCTTCCCCCATCACAAGGGGGTCAGTTCCCTCTTTCCAGGATGGAACGCAAGCAATCCAGCTTCATGTTAGGACTCTCTCCCTGCTGAGACATCTGGCCAGCCTCAAGGTGCCTAGCCATTTTATTTTATTTTATTTTATTTTATTTTATTTTATTTTATTTTATTTTACCCTTCTTCCCACCACAGATTCTCAGGGGATATCCTAGCCAAAGACTTTGCTGACCATGTCAGGGAGAACAAGAAGGACAGCAATTATGGATTTTCCAAGGAGTATCAGGTGGGTGAGAACAGAGGCCTTAGAGCTGGTTCCCACACACCCTAGCTTCCTACTCTGTCCCTTTATTGGTTTATTTATTTCTATGTTATGGGTGTGGGTGTTTTGTCTGCATGTGTGTGCGTGTGTGTGTGTGTGTGTGCCAGCGCACGCACCATGTATATGCAGTGCCTACAGAGGCCACAAGAGGGCGCTGGATCCTCTGCAACTGAGTTACACATGGTTTTGAGAAGTCACACGGAATTGAACCAGAGTCCTTTGTAGGAGTAGCCAGTTCTTTTAACCATTGAGCCATCTTTCCAGTTTCTTTTCTTTTCTCTTCTTATACCATTTGGGACTTTCTTAGGGATCGAACTTAGTCCTTAGGCTTGGTCGCAAGTGCCTTTATCCAATGAGTCATCTCGCTGCCCCAAATAATTTATTTAGATTATACTCATATTCTCCTCACACTCATGCTGATCTCTTACCTTTCCCAAAGCCCCCCTTTCTGTTCTCAAGTCACCGTGTGTGTGTGTGTGTGTGTGTGTGTGTGTGTGTGTGTGTGTGCCAAATGAATTTTATTAGAGTTGTTCACAGAAATATGGATGACTGGTTACTGACTAAAGCATGTTCAATATACCAGTGGCTATACAACTGGAGAAAATATCTCTTCTGGGCTGGAGAGATTGCTCAGAGGTTAAGAGCACTGGCTGCTCTTCCAGAGGTCCTGAGTTCAATTCCCAGCACCACGTGGTGGCTCACAACCATCTGGAATGAGATCTGGTGCCCTCTTCTGGCGTGCTGGCATATATGCAGGCAGAACACAAAGCATAATAAACAAAATTTTAAAAAGAAGGAGAATGTCTTTTCCTTCTCTGGCAATTGTCAGCTGCCTGTAGATCTTCTATGATCCCCACCTCCATCCCGAGACAGGGTCTCATGTATTCCAGGCTGTCCCAGAACATCAGTATAGCCAGAAGTGACTTTGAACATACGATCCTCTTCCTTGACCTCTTACATGCTGGGATTACAGGTGTGCTCTACCGAACCTGGTTTACACAGTGTTGGGATCGAACCCAGGGCCTTGTGCATGCTAGGCAAGCCCTCTACCAGCTGAGTCACTCCCCCAACCTACTGCTTTTAATCATACAAAAAAGTGTGAGCGTGTTCTTTCCAACTCTCTGAAGCCCTACAACAATGATGGATAACTTGGGGGGGGTTGTTTGTTTGGTTTGGTTTTTTTGAGACTGGATTTCTCTGTGTAACAGCCCTGGCTGCCCTGAACTCACTCTGTAGCCCAGGCTGGCCTTGAATTCACAGAGATCCACCTGTCTGTGCCTCCCGAGTGCTGGGACTAAAGGCGTGCGCCACCAACGCTCAATGATAACTTGTTTTAGGCACGGGACACCCTGACACTCTACCCAGGGCATCTGCCTGAGGAAGCCCCCAGCTTCCCCTAAATCCTCACAAGTGCCCCCAATGCGGATGGTCATATACCCCCAATGTTTGTGAGTGCCGCAGAGTCCCAAGGTTCAACCGGTAAACAGAGGAGGGCCATGTGGAGTTGTGTGGGCATTGGAGGAAGGCAAAGAAAATCCAACATCTTGACCCTCTTCTCTGTCTCTCTCTGTCTCTAGCAACTGACTCTGGAGGAGCAAGGTCAGTCTCAGTCGACAGCATCGGCTTTAGAGAACACATCCAAGAACCGTTACAGGAATGTACTGCCCTGTGAGTGTCCACTGCTGGTCACCCTCCTCTGCCTCTGGGTGGAGTCCGCCAGAACCCCATTCCTGCTCTGTCTGTCTGTCTGTCTGTCTGTCTGTCTGTCTGTCTGTCTGTCTCTGTCTCTCTCTCTCCCTCTCACCCCATTCCTGCTCTGTCTGTCTGTCTCTCTCTCTCTCTCTCTATTTCTCTGTCTGTCTGTCTCTCTCTCTCCCTCTCACCCCATTCCTGCTTGCTCTCTCTCTGTCTCTCTCCCTCTCTCTCTCCCTCACCCCATTCCTGCTCTGTCTGTCTGTCTCTCTCTCTCTCTCTCTATTTCTGTCTGTCTGTCTCTCTCTCTCCCTCTCACCCCATTCCTGCTTGCTCTCTCTCTGTCTCTCTCCCTCTCTCTCTCCCTCACCCCATTCCTGCTCTGTCTGTCTGTCTGTCTGTCTGTCTGTCTGTCTGTCTTTCTCTCTCTCTCTCTGTCTGTCTCTCTCTCTCCCTCTCACCCCATTCCAGCTCTCTCCCTCTCTCTCCCTCTCTATCTCTCTCTCTACCCCCCGTATGTGTGCGTGTGCTCACACACGTGCATGTAGGTTTGCATATTTGTATGTAGAGGCCAGATGACTTCTTCAGTCACTAGTCACTTTAAAAAAACCTTTACATTTTTATTTTTATTTACTTGTGTGTGTGTGTGTGTTTTGTATACAACTGTGTCCACGGAGACCAGTAGTTTTGGACCGACTGGAGCTGAGTTCCAGGTGGGTGTGCACCCCAACATGGGTTCTGGGAACTGAACTCAGGTCCTCTGCAAGAGCAGCGGATGCTCTTTTCCACTAAGCCGTCATGTATTTATTTATTTATGGTGTGCTGGTGTGACACGCATGCCACAGCAAATTGTGGCCGTCGAAGAACAGTTAGTTCTCTCCTTCCACCATGTGATTCCACCGGAATCAAAGTCAGCTCATCAGGTTTGGTGGAAAGCGCCTTTACCTGCTGAGCTATGTTTTCTTCTTTTGTCTTTCCAGACAGGGTTTCTTTGTGTAGCCCTGGCTGTCCTGGAACTCGCTCTGTAGCACAGGCTGGTCTCGAACTCACAGAGATCCGCCTGCCTCTGCCTCCCAAGTGCCGGGATTAAAGGCGTGCGCCACCACCGCCCGGCTCTCACAGCTCTCTTTACACTGCTGATGCTTCTGTGTTCTCCTAGATGACTGGTCCCGGGTGCCCCTGAAGCCCCTCCAGGAGGAACCAGGCTCCGACTATATCAACGCTAGCTTCATACCTGTAAGGTGGCAGTGGCGGGGGAGGAGCACTCAGTGAGCCTTGAGAGACAAAGAGTGGAAGGGGGACAGTGATCATATGATGGCCTCCCCTTGACATGACTCTTTTCCTCAACTAGGGCCTCTGGAGCCCCAAGGAATTTATTGCAACCCAGGGTCCCCTGCCTCACACGGTGGGTGATTTCTGGCGGATGGTGTGGGAGCAGCAGAGCCGCACCCTGGTCATGCTAACTAACTGCATGGAGTCTGGACGGGTGAGAAGAGATCTCTGTCCTGGTGCTAACCCTGAGCACCAGCCCTTGACCCTGCCCCATCTGGACCCTGACTCAGTACAGTCTCTTCTACACATCTCTGCATTTCTCCAATATAACTCCAACCATCCTCCAACATGACCCATCCCCTGCACCTTCATAATGTCCATAGGGGTGTGCGTGTGCGTGTGTGCGTGCCTGTGTGTCTCTGTGTGTGTGTGTGTGTGTGTATTGTCTTGGTCCGTGTTCTGCTGCCGTGAGTGAATGCCACAGACGGGATTTTTTTTTTTTTTTTGGTTTTTCGAGACAGGGTTTCTCTGTGGCTTTGGAGACTGTCCTGGAACTAGCTCTTGTAGACCAGGCTGGCCTCGAACTCACAGAGATCCGCCTGCCTCTGCCTCCCAAGTGCTGGGATTAAAGGCGTGCGCCACCAACGCCCGGCCTCAGACGGGATATTTTATAGAGAAATGAAGTCCATGTGTCTCATGCTTTTGGAGGGTGGGAAGTTCAAGAGCTCGCTGCTGGCATGTGGGGAGGATCTTCCTCCCGCGTCATGACAAGATGGAGAGTACCACGTGGTAAGGCACAGCCAGCATGACAACTCAGTTCCCGTCGTCCTCATCGTATACCATCATGAATATCATCTTGAGGGCCCTACCCGTATGCACACACAGGCATATTCACTCCCCACAGTGCGCACGCACGCACGCGCGCGCACACACACACACACACACACATGCACGCACTCACTAACACATGCATGCAGGCACACACACACGAATGCATGCATGTGAACACACACACTCACTAACACACGCACGCAAGCACACACACAGGAATGCATGCATGCACTAACACATGCACACAGGCGTGTGTGCACGTACATGCGCACACACACATGCCCTGTTCTTTGCTTTCTGACTGTCCCTGTCTCCCTGCCCAGGTGAAGTGTGAGCATTACTGGCCTCTGGATTCTCAACCCTGCACTCATGGGCAGTTGCAGGTGACACTGGTGAATGAGGACGTGAAGGAGAACTGGGCAGTGAGGGATCTCCAGCTCTTCCACGTAAGTCCCTTCAACCCCACCCCGAACTCAAGAAGCCTCCTGCAGTGTGTATACCAGAGACTCCCCATTAGGCATAGAAACTCCTGGAGTCTCTACGCTCCTCAGTCCTCATCTCCTTCCAGGTGAAAGAACAGCAGTCTCTCTCTGTGCGCCAATTCCACTACCTGGCCTGGCCAGATCATGGCGTTCCTTACTCCCCAGACCCCCTGCTGGCTTTCCGAAAGATACTGCGGCAGTGGCTGGACCAGAACATGGATGGAGGCCCTCCTATTGTGCATTGCAGGTGGGTACCACCCTAGACGTCTCCAATGGGGAGCTCTGTCCCCTGTCCCTAGGGACTCAAAATCCATCACGGACATGCACACATACACATAATTAAAAGTAAATAAACCCGTTTTTCCTCTTTAAGTGCAATTTTAAGCCTTATTATAAGCCACATAGAACAATGATTTAATGCAATAAGATAAATACACACAAAGCCTGCATATCCTTAGCTATGAAAATGCTTTACACAGCCACACAAAGGTTTAGTCAACTACACATTTTCACAATGAAGGTACGTACATTTACGTCACTATAACACCACCCAAAATACCTGTCCTGACATCAGGTTTATAAGCTTTTCCTTCCCTACTACTGAAAGCATTTATCTTTAGAAACTTTATTGTTACCAAGGAAGATGAGGTCCACTAACACTAACGAATAGTAGTTTCTTAAAAAAAAGTATTCTTTAGAAAATATTAAAATAAATGATCTATTAAGACAGATAAAGATTCTTACAAGAACTTAGTTCCTTAAAAGAAACACAAACCTAATCCCAGCACTCGGGAGGCAGAGGCAGGTGGATCTCTGTGAGTTTGAGGCCAGCCTGGTCTACAAAGCGAGTTCCAGGACAGCCTCCAAAACAATACAGAGAAACCCTGTCTTGAAAAACCAAAAAACAAACAAACAAAAAAAAACAAAAAAAACCACAAACCAGTTCTTTCTCTTTAATAACTTCTCCTGCCACTGTCACAAAAACTTGAAATTCATAAAGTCAAAAGGATATTTAGACTGTATACTATGCAGCCATGGTATATAGCTTGGACTACACAAGTCTATCTAAATACTACCTTACCTTTTTCAGATGGAACTACACAGTTGGTAGTCATCAAAGCCCAGCAAAGAATTAAATACAGTCAAACACAAGCAATGGAAGGCTCAAGTTATAACGCTAAAATTGAAGACCTCTTTCATTGCATACTTAGCTATCATGATATACTGTAGACAAGTTATAATGTATGGTTTCCAAACAAAATATCAAAATTTCAGATATTACAAATGGTGTCAAGATCCATAGTTGGCTTCGTCAAAGGCTTTTCTAGCCCGTTTCAATTCTTCCTTCATAGTAAGTAAATCTTTAAGTCTAGCAAACTTCCTTGGGTCCTTTCGAATCAGGAAGACAGTATCTTCAACTTGCACTCGACCCTGTCGTGCAATGGACATTGCCTTGTGAGGCATTTCAGTAATGAACTCTATGACAAGGTTTTCAAGAATATCCACTGACTCAGTGTAAGGATTCTGATCATCCCCAAACCCATACATCATACATCGCAATTCTTTGGAGAAAAGTCTCTTTCTTTTCCCCTGTCCACCTTCTGCTCCTCCTCCAATTCCTTCATTTTCCTCCTCAAAGGTGGGGTCTTCCTCCTCATGTGCCATCCCAGCTGCCCGCCAGCCTTCTCAAATAAACCCTTTAAAAAGCAACTAGGGGCCAGACCCGGCGACAAACACCTGTAATCCCAGCCCTCGGGAGACAGAGGCAGGCGGATCTCTTAAGTTCTGGGCCAGCCTGGTCTACCGAGTGAATTCCAGGAGACATCCAGGGCTACACAGAGAAGCCCTGTTTTGAGAAACCAAAACCGAAACCAAAACCAAACCAAACAACAACAGCAAACCCAAAACCAATTAGGTTGGGAGTTCCTCCTGTGAATTTCAGTTCCAGACCTGTTATTAGCTGCATGCCCTGACACACGTGACTTCTCTTTCCTCAGTTTTCATGGTGCCACCTGTAACATGGGCGTGCTGACAGGGCCTGCTTTCATGACAGTTATCGGTGACAAAAATCAAGCCACGTTCACAGAACATGGCCGACGGACGCAGAAAAAAACACTAGTCTCTGTCCTCATTGCCTCACCGTCCCCGCTTAAATGGAGGCTTGTTGAGTGTCACACTCTTTGGGTGGTCCAAAACCATACACTCTCAGCTAGGAACTCCAGCCTTCCCTCGCCTCTGGCTACTGACCCATGCCTTGTCCCTTGCCTAGTGCTGGCGTGGGCCGGACGGGCACCCTCATTGCGCTGGACGTCCTGCTCCGACAGCTGGAGTGCGAGGGGCTGGTGGGTCCCTTCAACTTCTTGAAGAAGATGAGAGAGAGCCGGCCACTGATGGTGCAGACAGAGGTGAGGGGCTATAGGGGACGTGGGCATGGTGGGGAGGATGAGGGACCCTTTGGGGATCATTGCTCATCTCTGTGAACCTCCCCAGACCCAGTATGTATTCCTCCACGAATGCATCATGAGCTCCCTCCAGAATTCATCCCCTGCCTATGAGAATGTGGCAGGCGTCTACGAGAATATAGCTGCCATCAGAGCCCACGAGTCTGAGGTCTCGGCTACTGGGTGCTGAGCCCATGCACACGGAAGTACTCAGGCTGGATATGGACCCCCCCCCCATGGAGCCCAGACACCAGGACCTCCGAGAGAACTGAGGATTGCAGTCCCAGGCTCCCCAGAACACTGGAAAGCTGTCTCCTGTTGTCCACGGACAGGATGGGATTGGTGTACTTCAACTGTGAGCTCTGTGCGAGCTGGGAGCCCAAGGACAGGGGTAAAACCAGGGGATTTCCTGTTCTTTGAGTGGAGGTGACTGCGGTCAGGGTATGCAGGGTCCCAAAGAAAGAAGTTGGAACCTGGATTCAGAAGCAAGAATTGGGGTCTGCAATTGTGCTACCTGAGGAGCAAGGGCAGGCAGGTACCTGCCCCCCGCCCCGCCCCCTTATTTCAGAAACCAAACCGGTCTCCTTGAACTGGAGGCTGAAGGAGTCCCTTTGCTAGTGATCGCCGTGGAGCCCTGAACATTCTTTCTGTCTATGTGATTTATTTTACTATTCTCCCTAAGGTGGGTTTTTGTCTCTGGGATAGGAGAGGGGGTTCCAGATCACAACACCTGAACACGGATGGGGAGAACTTGAAGAACCCATTATATTCCACCACCCCCCTAAAAATATACAGGATTGGAACTGGAAGAATAGCACAGTTGGAAAACGCTTGCTTTGCAAACATGGGACCTGAGTTTGAGCCCCCAGAAACCACGTGGAAAAAGCTGGGTGTGGTGGGACTTGCTTGCAGCGGCAGAATGGAAGAGGCAGAGACAGACAGATCCCTGGGGCTTGATGGCCAGCCAGCCTAGTCTACTGGGTATGTCCCGGGCCGATGAGACCGTCTCTCAAGACGAGATGGACAGGGACACTGAGATGCCTCAGCTGGAAAAGACCCTTCCTGAGTTCAATCCCCAGGAAGCCACACGGCTGTAGGAGGGAGCCGGCGCCTTCAGACTGTCTTTTGACCTCCACGTGCCCACTCCCCCACACAAATAAATAAACGTTATTTAAGTTTTTACAAGGTGAGTGGCACCTGAAGGAAAACATGCAAAGTTATCTTCCGACCTCCACACAAATGCACACACACACACACACACACACACGTGCGTGCACGCATACATATACAGGTTCGAACCGCGAGTCTCTCGGATAGGGCTGAGGTAGCAGACCTCTGTGTTGGCCGCGACCTGGGAGGTAAGGGCTCGCCTCCTTGGATTGGTTAAGGGGAAGCGATGTCTGAGAGCAGAAATGTTGGAAGCTCCTATTCGTTGCCTCGAGAATCTGGGTAGCTGAATACTCCAGTCTCCAGAGGGGTTGCTCAGGGATCCCAAAACCGAGTGTTCTGGAATCCAGTTATTTTTGCATTGTAAAAAAAAAAAGTCTGGTGTGTGTGTGTTTGTGTGTGTGTGTCTTGCGGGGGCTGGTGCTCAGAGTAGATGTCCGATGACTTAGCCAGGCGTCAGAACATTCTAGGGTACTAAGATCAACGTCCGTGGGCGCCATGGTGGCTCTCGGGTGTGGCGGGCCGAGGGGCGGAGCAGGGCGTTCTCCTATCTCCGGGGCAGAACACGCACGCACACACACATGCACACATTCATACATGCGCGGGCGCGCGCGCGCGCTCACACCCAGGGGCGCAGGCACCAGCCTGGCTGGACTCAGCCGCGCCCCCACCCCGCCGAGCTAGATCAGCAGACGGGACAGCGCCATCCGCCCACGTGCTGGGGGCGGGGTCCCGGCAGCCCACGACTCCGGGCGCCTCCAGGAGGGTCCTGTCCAGCCACCTAGCAGGTAGGAGCTGCTGGGACCCTCTGTCCCAGCCGGCCACATCCTCAGTCCGGTTCGCAGAGGGGACCGAGGTGTGTGGGAGGGGTAGGTAGGGGTGAGTACTGGGTGGAGGGACCCTGACAGGGATCATCAACTCTGAGCAGCAGGTAGAAGCCCCGACCGAGGAGATTTGGCTGTGTGGAGCGGGGAGACAGGTGTGGAGACAAAGGGAGCAGGTTGGTAGGCAGAAAAGCAGGCAGAGACCAAGAGAGACCGAGGCCAGGCAACAGAGGGCAGCAGAGACGCGGGCGAGAGAAGGATGGAGGGGGGCAGATAGGGAAGATGCCCACCGGGGCTTTAGAGAGGAGGTGGACTGGGTCACGAGAACAGGTGTGCAGAGTCGGGGTGCGCGCGCGAGACTCGTGAGCAAGAGGATGTGGGGGGTGGTGCCCAGCAGAGGTCCCCCCACTTCGCCAGCCGGAGTGGTGGCGCAAGGGGTCCGATGCGGAGGGAGGAGCCGCTGTGGATGCACAGACCACAGGCCGCCCGCCCTCCACCACCCTGGCTGTGCCGCGGGACCCTGCACCGGCACCGCCCGGTCTTCCTTTCCGTGCGTCAGTCCCTCCCGTTGTCTTGGCAACAGGCTCGTTGCCCAGCAACCAGCCTTGCTATCATCCTGCCTGGAGCCTGGCGGTCTCTCTGGGCAACAGTGGTCTGCTGGTTCCCACGTCTGCCTTCGCCCGCTTCCGGTTCAAACCCTTGGGAAGGGCTAGGAAGGAGGAGAAGAGGGTGGTTGTGGGGGGGGGGTGCCTGCAGTGAGGAGACGTCTCTTTGTGATGGAATTGGGTCCCCCAAAAGCCCGCCCTCGGCCTGGAAAGGCGGAGATTAACTCCCAGTGTGCACCGAAAGTCTTTGATGCGCGGAAAACTCAATGGATGTTTGGGGTAGGAGTGGGGGGGATAGGGTGCTTGGGTACCTCTGCAGGAAGCACCGCGGGAACCCGACGCCATGTTCCCGGAACCCCCGACCCCGGGGTCTCCAGCGCCTGAGACACCTCCAGACTCCAGCCGCATCAGGCACGGGGCAGGTGAGAAACCCCTGGACCTGCCCCAGTGGGAAGCCCCGCTGGGTCCCTAGGGGGCGGGACTCAGATGCAAAGACTCGGGTTGGTGGGCTGGAAAATCCGGCAGGGATCGTCGGTCAGTGTCCCAGACTAGCATATGAAACACCGAAAAAGAGAGACAGGTCTTCGGGGGGGGGGGGACCAGAAGCGGATCAAGGGTGGGGCGTGGAGTGGGATCATAAATCAGCGAATGGAAACTGAGACCCAGGAGTGAGCAAAGCAGAAATCAAAATGGGGGTAGAGACGTCAGGACTGTAAGAGGCAACAAATCTTGTCAGCGTGGGTTAGAGCATCGGCTCAGCTTTACAGGTGAGGCTGGTTGGAAGGAAAACATGGAATTGAACTGAACGGAATTGGCTGGAGGGAAAAGCAGGCTTCAGGCTTCAATGTGGAATCGAACCTGAGCCAGCCAGCCAATTTCCCAGAGCTTTGACGTGTGCTGTGTCCACCTTTCTGCAGTACCTGCCTGGGTCCTGGCCACCATCGTGCTGGGCTCAGGCCTCCTGGTCTTCAGCAGCTGTTTCTGTCTCTACCGGAAGCGCTGCCGGAGACGGATGGGCAAGAAGAGCCAGGCCCAAGCCCAGGTCCATCTCCAGGAAGTGAAGGAGCTGGGCCGGAGTTACATCGATAAGGTGCGACCCTTCCCTACGCACACTCCCCGCAGTTTCCCCAGCTATCCTCGTCTTTGGTCCCTTCCCTTCTTAGTCCCACAGGATTCTGGGGATCAGAGCTAGGATTAACTCTCGTGTCTGAGCTGGGTGTGATGGTGCATATGTGTAATCCCAGCCCTTGGGGAGGCTGAGGCAGTAGGGGATGCTGTGAGTTCAAAATCAGTCAGAGCAGTGTAGTACCTGCAACGCCAGCCTGGGCTACAAAACAAATCAGAGCTGAGAAGCCGGCTTGGTGGTTCAGAGAGCTTGCCACTCTTGCAGAGGACACGGGTTCAGTGCCCACAACCATCTGTAACTACAGCTCTGGGAGACCCTCTTCTGACTTCTGTGGGTGCCTAGCACACATATGTCACGCATACATGTGTGCAGGCGAAATACTCATACACATAAAGTAAATAAACACATAAAACGAAATAAAACAAAAAACACTCAGTAGGCAAAATGGTTGCTAAGAAGCATGAGGGTCATGGCTCTGACCCCTTACCTGTTCAAAAGCTGGGCGTGCGTTTGCATACCTATAGCTCCGTTGCTGGTGATGGGGGTGGTGGTGGTAGAGACTGGCATATTCCTGGAACTCCATGGCCAGCCAGTCTAGGAGAAATGATAAACTCTAGGTTGAATGAGAGACCCTGCCTCAAAAAATAAGGTGGAGAGTAAAAGAGGAAGGCACCCAAAATTGACCTTTGAACTTCACACACATACTTGGGAATAGATGAGTTACATACCAACCTACATAGGCACACATCACACACACACTCTGTCTCTGTGTCTGTCTCTCTGTCTCTGTCTCTGTCTCTCTCTCTCTGTCTCTCTCTCTCTCTCTCTCGGGATGTTGTCATATGCAGGGCACCAACAGACACTGTGGTATTGACAATCCAGAGGGTCAGTTTCCTGGTGGAGGTGGTTTTTGTGGCTAGACCAAAACAACAGAGTTTTAGCTAAGAGCCAGGACAAGAATATTCTAGTCAAAGGAAGAGCAGGTATTGAGGACTGGTTATTGCATTTTGAGGTGAGTCAACAGAGAGTTGTTCACAGTGGAGGCATCTGGAAGGCTGAGCACCCTCCATGTAACGAGGGCAAATGATCCTGTAATGAGGGTTCTTTGTCCCCCAGCAGGGATTCCTCCCCTGAGAGCCCCTAACTAAAACACAAGACTTATATTAATTATAAAATTGTTGGCTGGTGGCTTTGGCTTCTTATTGGCTACCTCTGTCTTAATTATTAACCCATTTCTATTAATCTATGTATTTCCATGTGGTCTTGGCTTACTGGAGAAGGGTCCAAACTTCTTACTCCTTTACGGGCTACATGGCGACTGACTCTGCCTACGTTTCCCAGAATTCTCCTCGTCTCCTAGTCCCACCTATCTCCCTGCCTCTATTGGCCACAGTGTTTTATTCATCAACCAATAAGACAAACATATATACGGAAGGACATTCCCATCATGAGCCCTACTCTAGTGTTTGTCCAAGAAAGGGACAGGAGCCTGGGAATGTAGTTCAGCTGGTAGAGTGATTTCTTGGAATGCATGGAGCCCAAGGCCAACCCCCAGCACCACACAAACCTGGCATGGTAGTGCACATCCGTAACCCCAGATCTTGGGAGGTGGAGGCAGGAGGATCCAGAAATTCAAGGTGATCCATGGTTACATAGCGAGTTATATGCAGCATGTTTGAGAGAGAGAGAGAGAGTTCCAGCATATATATCATGTATGTGCATGAATGGACACACACACACACACACACACACACACACACACACGAAAAGTCATGGAGGACTTATACAGATCCTTCAAAAATAAAAGCCTAGGGGGTGTGGAGAGATATCTCAGTGGTTAAGAGCACTGATTGTTCTCCCAGAGGACCTGGGTTCAATTCCCAGCACCCACATGGCAGCTTACAACTGTCTGTAACAGCAGTTCCATGGGCTCCATCCAACATTGTCACACAGACATACATACATACATATGAAAATAGATAATGAAAATCTATTTAAAAAGAGCACTTGTTTCTCTTTCAGGGGAACAAGTTCTCTCCCCAGCACCCATGTAGGATGGCTCACAACGTCTATAACTCCAACCCCAGGGTATCCAATGCCTCTGGCCCCTGTAGGTGCCTGCACTCACATGCACACATCTGTGTGAAGACACATGCCTCCACATAACTTAAGCTATAGAAAAAACCAAGTGTTAGGCAATTGAAAGGCTATGGTAGAATCTGAATATTAAGTCTCTGAGTGTAGAGTGGAATGCAGGCCAGGCAGTCTGGGGTTTCCAGGCAACTCCCCCAGGACCATTTTCCATCTGTGTGAGCCTCAAGTTCAAGGCAATTAGCTCATTATCTCTCCTTCTTTCTCAACAAGCAGCTGTTATTATAATTATTACCTACAAGGATTCCTTTTGGGGGTCCTGGAACCCAGCCTCCATTCCTGTTCCTTAAGTCAGTGATTTCAAAGGTCATCTGTGTCAGGATCACCTCCAACTTCGTTGCAATGTAAATTTTGGATGCAATGTCACTAGACCTAGTGAATCAAAAAAACCTCGGTATTTTGCCACTCATCTCTGATGGAGACTAGACTTTGAGAATCTATGGTCTAAGAGAGAAAAAAACTTACATGCTAAATGTTAAGCACATGGTATATATACACCATTTCTCCTTCGTATTCTGTTATCCCAATACATTCACTAGGACATGTAGGGATGAAACAGTCCCAGACTGTAGCTCATGATGCCTATTTCCATAGCAGACATCACTAATCAAATGCTGACAAATATGTTGCTTTTATGGTATGTTGTTCCAGACATTACTAATCCATCACTGTTTAGATAAGATGGAGGGGTCTGGGAGCTTCTTGAGGTTTCTGAGCCTGGGAAGGTACTAGTTTCAGGGGAAGATTCTACCATCTTGCTCCTGGCTTTCCAGGTTCAGCCTGAAATAGAGGAGCTGGACCCCTCACCATCCATGCCGGGACAGCAGGTATCAGAGGAGCACCAGTTAGGACGACTGCAGTATTCACTGGATTATGACTTCCAGACTGGCCAGGTGGGTGTGAGGGAGGGAAGAAACACCTTCGGAAGGGGGAGGGTCTCGGGGGCTGGGGGAGGGTCTCGGGGCCTGGGGGAGTGTCTCAGGGGCTGGGGGAGGGTCTCGGGGGCTCCAGCCCTCCCTTTGTAGTGGAGTCCCTGGGAGGAGGCTGGAACTAGAGTCCGTCATCAGTGGTGTCTGGGCACTGCAGCTCCTGGTGGGTATCTTGCAAGCTGAAGGACTGGCAGCGTTGGACCTAGGAGGTTCCTCGGACCCCTATGTCAGTGTCTATCTGCTGCCAGACAAGCGGAGGCGGCATGAGACCAAGGTGCACCGGCAGACCCTGAATCCGCACTTTGGGGAGACCTTTGCCTTCAAGGTGAGTTCCTGCTGTCCTTACGCCGTGGTCCCCAGCCTACCTCTCTCTAGTCCCTGGAACGCCAAGGACTGACCCTTCAGCTTTCCCTGGAAGAAGACACAGCTCCGATGATGGATGACAGCGTGTGTGTATACAAGAGGTGGGAAGCTGTTCCGGGGACCTAGAATTATCCTTGGGAACACTGCCAATGCCCGTGCTGTCTGTTGCCTTGGTCCCTGTACGCTCCTCTTTGTGTTCTGTTAGCACGTGGGTCTCCATCCGTGGATCCCCGTGATTTATTGAGGCCCCTGGAGCCTCACTGCTCCATGTTATGGCGTATTTGTACACTGTGTGAAGACGTGTCACCGTGGTTGGTTTAATAAGGAGCTGGATGGCCGACAGCTGGGCAGGAAGAGGTTAGGGGGTACTTCTGGGGACAGAGAGGACTCTGGGAAAAAAAAGAAAGGAGATGCTAGCCAGACAGGGAGAGGAAACAGGGGGTGCAAGATGGAAAGAGTTAACGCCACGTGGCAGAACGTAGATTAATGTAAATGAGGTTAATTTAAGGTATAATAGCTAGTTGAGACAAGCCTGAGCTAACAGCCGGGCTGCTTTCATAATTAATAAGAAGTCTCTGTGTGGTTACTTGGGAGCTGGCAGCCCAGAGAAATGTCTGTCTACAGCCGCATTATACGTCCACCTGAGTATCCTATGCCCCCACGTCCTCCTCCTCCCTGACTTCCTGCCCTCCCCCTTGTATTTCCTTCCACCAGGTCCCCTACGTCGAGCTCGGGGGCAGAGTGCTGGTCATGGCTGTGTATGACTTCGACCGCTTCTCCCGCAACGATGCCATCGGGGAGGTGCGGGTGCCCATGAGTTCAGTGAACCTGGGGCGCCCGGTGCAGGCCTGGAGAGAGCTGCAGGTGGCGCCCAGGGAGGAGGTGAGCATGTGCGGCCCCGCCCATTCGTCCTCGGGACCAGAGACCACAGACTTTCCAGTCCTTCAAGTCTGCAAGCCTCCCCGTCCTCCCCCCACCCCTTTTCTTTGGCTCAGGCGAGCTAGCTGGCTCCAGGGACTAGATTTGACATCCCTGGTGCATGACTCCGGATCATCCAGAGTGAGCCAGCGAGGGGCAGCGGCCCAATTTGGGTGATAGGTTCCGTTCCTCCTTTTAGCAGGAGAAACTGGGGGACATCTGCTTCTCTCTCCGCTATGTCCCCACGGCTGGAAAGCTCACCGTCATTGTCCTGGAAGCTAAAAATCTGAAGAAGATGGATGTAGGAGGACTCTCAGGTGTGTGCGAAACAAAAATGACGTAGTGTGTGTGTGTGTGTGTGTGTGTGTGTGTGTGTGTGTTAGAGTTCCTATTGCTGTGATAAAGACTATGATTAAAAAAAAAAACCTGGGGAGGAGGAAACAGTTTATTTAATCTTACAACTCTTACGTCACGTTCCGTCACTGACTGAAGTCAGGGCAGGAACTCAGACAGAGCAGGGGCTGATGCAGAGGGTTGGAAAGGAGTGTCCCTTACTGGCTTCCCATGGCGTTCTCAGCCTGCTTGTTGTACATCCGGGACCATTTGTCCATGGTTGACCCTACCCACAGTTAGCTGCCCCGCCCCCCGCATCAAACCCCTAATTAATCAAACCCCCCATTGTCTTGCCTGTGGGTCAATATCATGGAGGCATTTTCTCATTTTTTTGGTTCACTTAGATAACTTGTATCGAAGTTGATAACGAAACGACGGGGGTGGGGAGGGTCGCCTAAGGGTTCTCACAGCTTTTTTTTTTTTTGGTTTTTCGAGACAGGGTTTCTCTGTGGCTTTGGAGGCTGTCCTGGAACTAGCTTTTGTAGTCCAGGCTGGTCTCGAACTTACAGAGATCTGCCTGCCTCTGCCTCCCGAGTGCTGGGATTAAAGGCATGCGCCACCAACGCCCGGCTTCTCACAGCTTCTTGATGTGAGGGGGTCGCAGAACCCCATACTGCTGTGGAGAGCCCAGAACTGATCTCATCCAGAAAGGGGGGATTTGAGGGGCGCATGGGGGTCTGAGAAAGAGTCTTCACTCTCCTACGCAGCCTGCTCCCCATGCACGAACAGTGGGGAGTTAAGGGGTGCCCTTCTTCGCCCCAGATCCCTATGTTAAGGTACACCTGCTTCAGGGAGGCAAGAAGGTTCGGAAGAAGAAAACCACCATTAAGAAGAACACCCTGAACCCCTATTACAACGAGGCCTTCAGCTTCGAGGTGCCCTGTGACCAAGTGCAGGTGAGTGCAGCCGTGCCCGGCTTCCACCACAGGAGCCCCCCCACCCCACCCCAGAGATGGAGTGGCAAAGGAAAAGGGGCCTGGGCGTCACTGAAGAAACCAGATCCTGTTCATCTCCGTTTCATTCTCTGGAGACCGGGAGGCCTGACCCTAAAACCTGGCCTTGGGCATGCTCTCCCCTAAGCAAGCCTTGCCACAGGATGCGGGTCCCCAGCAAGCCCTGCCCCCCCAAGAAGCTCAGACCTTCCAGTTCCTTTAAGAGAAAAGCCTTTATGGGTCACGGCACCCCTGTCAAGGACTTGCCTGTTTGTCCCTTCTGAGCCCTGATCTCTAAGGCGGTGCCTACCAAGCCCTGGACAACGGGGTCCTGTGGGTTTATCTCCATCGAAGTTCGTTTTCAGCGGGGTGTTGGTGGCGCACGCCTTTGATCCCAGCACGCTGTAGGCAGAGGCAAGCGGATCTCTGTGAGTTCGAGGCCAGCCTGCTCTACATAGCGAGTTCCGGGCCAGGCAGGGCTATGTAGTGAGAGAGTTTCTCTGAAGCAGAAAAGAAAGAAAGGAAGAATTTCCTTTTCAAAGGAACAAAAGTTCCGGGGCACCTTTTGGTCTTTTCCAACGGCCAGTTCCGGGGCACCTTTTGGTCTTTTCCAACGGCCACTACTCCCTGCCCCAAACTCCCGCGGGGGTGGGGTACCCCCACATAGCCTGGTCGCAGGGAGAGAATGTCCTTAGCAATGACCCCTGCGCTGCTCTCCATGTCACCCTCCTGTCTCCTTCTCCCGCCACCCCACTCCAGAAAGTCCAGGTGGAGTTGACCGTATTGGACTACGACAAGCTGGGCAAGAATGAGGCCATCGGGAGGGTGGCGGTGGGCGCCGCAGTCGGTGGGGCTGGCCTCCGGCACTGGGCAGACATGTTGGCCAACCCCAGGCGGCCCATTGCCCAGTGGCACTCGCTGCGCCCCCCTGACCGAGCCAGGCCAATGCCTGCACCCTGACCCCCCGTCAGGCACGCGCCTGACCCCAGATCCGTGACTCCCAGCTCCTTCCAGCTCTCCCCACATGCCTCTCCCTACTCCACAGACGTCGCGTCCACTCCTACCTCCACGCTGGGAACGTTCCTAACTCCCGGCACCACTCCCATCCCCAGAAACCACAGAGATCCTGCGGGGAGGTGGCTAAGTCTGACATTCCCTGCCCCGGGGTCCTCCCCTCTGCTTTGACAATCAGCTGAGAAGCCTATTATCCCCTTCCTCCCAATCTCTTAGCTCTTCCCAGACAGCTTGACCCCTGTAACTGCTCCTGGGGCCAAATAAATAAATACTCAGCAGCTTGGAAGCTCGGACCGGTGCTCCTCGATGTGTGTGGGGGAGGGGGAGGGTGCCCGGCACAGGACATGGTGGCTGGGACTAAGAATGACGCTCACCTCCAGGCCCAAAGGCGAGCCAGGTCAGAGTAACGCTGAACACCCTGGACACCCACCCAGGGAAACCACCCACCCACCCACCCACCTACCGCCAACCCACTCACACAGCTACCTATTCTTCCCCTGAACCTCGGTTTCCTCAGAAGAAAAAACTTATGATGGTAATACTACCTGCTGTGTAACTGCTGTGAAGAATCAGAGAGAATCCACCTAGCCGTGATTTAGTCCATGTGGTCACCAGCCAGGTAAATGTTGGACCACCGAGCCACGACCCCATCCTCTCACTGGGGGATTCTAGGCAGGTGATCTAACCACTGGGCAACACCCCCAGCCCCTCACTGGGGTATTCTAGGCTGGTGCTCTACCGCTGAGCCACACCCCAGCCCCTCACTGGGGGATTCTAGGCAGGTGTCCTAACCACTGGGCAATGCCCCCCCAGCTCCTTACTGAGGAATTTTAGGCTGGTGCTCTACTGCTGAGCCACACCCCCAGCTCCTCGCTGGGGGATTCTAGGCAGAACTCTACCCTAAGCCCACTCTGTAGCCTAGGCAGGCATTAAACTTGTCATCCTCCTGCCTCATCCTCCCTAGTATCTGAGATCACAGGCCCGCCACGCCAGGCCCCTGTGCGCATAGATTGTCCTGCTCAGCTGTGCGTCCTTCCTTCCCCTCCTCTCCCCCCTTTTCCTCTCTCTCCCTTATTTCCACCTCATTTCCCCTGAGGTCTCCTGTGTACAACCACTTGGACCAAGAAGAGACATAAGCCCAGACGTTACTCCTCACGACTTACTCTTATCAAGGAAACAAAATAGATTAGTGTCCAACTGAAATCTCCAGAAAGTCCATGACCATACCACCCTGAAGTCTCAAGAGCCCATGGCTGTTCTACACTGAAATCTCCGGAGAATCTACGGCGACACTATCCTCAAGGGCCCGATAAGGCAGTTACTTTAGGAAAAGCCAATGGTAGTCTTCCCCCCCCTCAACATGTGTCGATTCCCGCCATAATTTTGGGAGGATGATTACTTGACCAACTTCGTCTCTCCCCAGGCAGGATTTGGCATGATGGACGGGGCTTTGCTGTTTGGAAATTTAGCTCTCTGAGACCTCAGTGGAGGGGCAGGAAGTATCCCCAGAGACTAGGAAAAGGGTACATATTTGTCCCCTGAACTTCCTGGCAACCAGTGAGCAAAGAAATCAGACCAGTTATGTGGGTTATAGTGTCCATGAGATTTAGAAAATTTCCACAAAATTGCAGGCAGTGGTGGCACATGCCTTTAATCCAGCACTTGGGAGACAGAGTGAGTTTGAGGCCAGCCTGGTCTACAAAGCTAGTTCCAGGACAGCCAGGGCTGCACAGAGAAACCCTGTCTCTAAAAACAAAACAAACAAAAAAAAGAAAGAAAAGTAGAAAATTTCCACAAAATCATAGCAGTCATATTTACTGTGTGATTATGTGTATTGCTCTTAAGACCATATTTATTAATGGGGCTGGAGAGATGGCTCAGTGGTTAAAGGGACTGACTGCTCTTGCAGAGGTCCTGAGTTCAATTCCAAGCAACCACATGGTGGCTCACAACCATCTGTAATGAGATCCGGCGCCCTCTGCTGGTGTGAAGGTGAACACGCAGAGCACGCACACATACAAATATAAATAAAGTTAAAAAAGAGGACAGCAGCTACTACCACCACTACTGCCAATATTGCCCTCACAGCAAACTCATGATAAATGCAATGTTTGTTCTTATTGGCAAGTGAAAAAAATATGCAGCTGACTATGAGACCTATAGCCAAGAATTTTGACTTTAAGTCCTATTACTTGAACCTGTTATGGTGTATATATTTTTTTGTTTTGTTTTGTTTTTCAAGACAGAGTTTCTCTGTATTGTTTTGGAGGCTGTCCTTGAGCTCTCTCTGTAGACCAGGCTGGCCTTGAACTCACAGAGATCTGCCTGCCTCTGCCTCTGGAGTGCTGGGATTAAAGGCGTGCGCCACCAACACCCGGCTTTTTTTTTTTTATGGTGTATTTTTTAAGGATTTATTTACTTTATTATTTCGTGTGTATGAATGTTTTGCCTGCTTCTTCGTTTGTGTCTGATGCCTGCTGAGGTCAGAAGAGGGCGTTAGATCCCATAGGACTAGAGTTAGTATACCGCCGTGAGCCACCATGGGGATGCTGGGACTCGAACCTGGGTTCCCGGCAAGAGCCGCAGTACTCCTAACTGCTGGGCCAACTCTCTAGTTTCTAAACCTGTTATGATTTAGGTTAAGATCTCTGGGTCTCTGGTTTTTCCATCTCGGCAAGAAAGCAAACCAATAAGAAGAAAACCATTGCAAATAACCACCGATAGTAAGAAATAAATCTGGGGTCTGTGCTGGGGTCCAGCTAGTATCAGACCTACACTGCAAGGGGCCATCTATTCTGGACTGATGTCTTTGGGGCTGTGTTCAGAACCAGCCAAACAGCCCCGGGTCCGACCCTGAGTGGGGGAGTGTGGATCAGGGAAGTCCTAGCTACCCAGTGGCGTTAAGGACGAGACAGAGACATCATGTTATCTCAGGAGGGCTCCCAGTCAATACTGGAGACCACAGTTTATTCAAGCATCCTCTTAAATAGCTTTCCAAAAGCACGGGTACTGGCAGAAGACATCTATTATCATATAAACAGGGCTGACTAGGAAATACGTCCTTTAACCCTAGAGATGGTCCTAGAATGCATGTACACAAGCCCTTAGACTTTCTGTAAAGGCACATCTCACCAATCTTCAGACACATCCCCCTGGTCCCCAGGCACATCCCACTAGCCCTCATGATGGGTATGGGGCCTAGGTCTATTGTTACACAAACTAGAAACCATTCTCCACTGTGGCCAGGCCATCCGGAGGTAACCAGCCGACATCTAAAAGACAATAGGAGATTTGAGCTCCTGGAATTGAGCTGAGGCCTATATCTGAAATATCATATCCAGGCCCCGACAGGTCTGGAGAGATGGTTCGGTGGCTAAGAGCACTTGATGCTCTTGCAGTGGTCCTGGGTTTGGTACCCAACATCCACACATTAAATCACACCATTCATAGTTTTAGTTCCAGGAGATCTGGTGTGCCTTCTTCTGACCTCCACAGACAGGGGACACACATGTAGTGCACATACATGTAGCTAAAACTTACATGTAGGCTGGTGTGGTGCACATAGTCATAGCACTCAGGAGGCAGAGGCAGGTGGATCTCTGTGAGTGTGAGGGCAGCCTGGTTCACAAAGCACGTTTCAGGACAGCCAGTGCTAAATAATAGAGAAGGCTGTCCCATAAAAAAACAAACAAGTAATCTAAAAACTAAAACAAACAAGTCCAGTGAATGCTGAGAAATTTAGGGAGTTCAGGGAGGTCTTTTCTGAGGTGAAGTCTGAACATGGTAAGAATGGATGATATGCAAACAACGACAAGGGAGGAATAGGACGGACTATTATTCCATCACAGAAAGGAGTGACGTGAGCTGTGAGAGTACCAAGCACCCATGTAAAAGTCAGGCAAGGCCGATAGCATTGATAACACCACCACCGAGGGGGGGCGGAGCTATACAGACTCAGGGAGCGGCCTGACAAGCACGATGAACTTCCAGGCTAGTGAGAGACTTCTCGAGGAAATCAGAGGAAGACACGAGACGCATCCCTCTGGCCTCTGCATTTTTGTGGGCACAAGCATGCGCACACGCATGTGCGTGCATGCATAGAGTGCAGAGCACATGAAGGAATGAGATACTAACTTACACTTCACCATGAACCTGGAATTATATATTATATATAATTAAAAAAAATTTTATGTGCGTTAGGGTAAAGGTGTCAGAACCCCGAGTTACAGGCAGTTGTGAGCTGCCATGTAGGTGTTGGGAATTGAACCTGTGTCCTCTGGGAAGAGCAGCCTGTGCTCTTAACCACCGAGTCATCTCTCCAGCCAGCCCCCAAGTTATATAATTGTATGGTAGTGTAGCATATACTTCTTTTTGATGATACATTTCTTTTTATTTTGAGTGTTTTGCCCATATGTGTGTCTGTGTACCGCCTGCGAGTATGCCCTCAGAGGCCAGAAGAGGGCGTCAGATTCCTCGGAACGGAAGTTACGTACAGATGGTTGTAAGCTGGCTGCCATGTGGGTGCTGGGATGTGAACCCAGGTCCTCTGTAAGAGCAGCCAGTGTTCTTGACTGCTGAGCCATCCCTCCAGCCCCTCTCTGTGTAATCAAGCTTGAGCTTTTAACCCTGCTTCAGTCCCGTGACCAACACGGCCCCCTCCCCGCCTACCCCTGCCATTGGTGGATTGTAGTCGCGTGCCTGGCTTTATGATGTGGTGCTGGAGACGGAACACAGTGATTCTACCATGCTCGTCAAGAGCTCTTCCAAACTGATGCCAGGCCCAAAGCCATTGTTTCTATAGCATCCTTTCCTTTCATTTTTGTCTTCGTTCTAGTAAATTCTGTTCATTGCTGGGGCCTGAGAGACCAATGCTAGGTATCTCACCAGGAAGGAGTTTTAATTTCTATTTTTAATTGGCATTATTTATTTATTTGTGTGTGTGAGAGAGAGGGGAGGGAGGGGGGAGAGAAAGAGAGAGAGAGAGACACACACACACACACAAAGAGAGAGAGAGAATGAATGAATGAATGAATGAATGCATGCTTATATTCTGCTCACTTTGTCTACTTTCATACAGTCCAGGTCACAAGTCAGGGGAATGGTGACACCCACTTTCAGTCTGAGTCTTTCCAATGAACACATTCAAGGCAATCGCCCACAGGCATGCTCAAAGGTCCAGTCTCTGATCCAGACAGTCACTCACTGAGAGTCTCTTCTCAGCTGCCTCCATATTATAAAAAAACTAATCCATCATGATGCTTATCCTGCTGCATAAGTGAATCCTTAATAGTCTCCTAGTCTCCCCTCCCCACTACAGAGTTCCAGGAAGAAAATACCTGTAGACTTACACCAGTCTCTGCAAAGGACATGATAAATATTTCAAAGCTCTCCAGATATGCCTTGATCCTGCATCTCTCAAGTTGTTCTCTGCCAGGCTCAGGTGGGTCAGCATCTTATTGTGCCTGAGAGCAAAGGCAATTCCTTCACAGGAGATCCCAGTGAGGTTACAGTTCTCCAGCCTGTGAAGAGAAACACACAGACAAGGGACAGTTCGTGTGTATGTATGCATGCAAGTATGTATACACACACATATTTATACATATATACATATACATAAATAGAAATTTATCTATTTTACATCCTGACCAAAGTTTCCTCTCCCTCCTCTCTTCCCAGTCCCCCAATCAACTCCTCCATCTCTGTTTAGGAAAGGACAGTTCTCCCATGAGTATCAACAAATCATGGCATACCAAGTTGCAGTAAGACTAAGCACTTCCCCATATATTTGGGCTGGGCAAGGTGAACCAGTATTAGAAGGAATAGGGTCTTAAAAGCCTGTAATTTGGAGATAGCCCCTAGTCCCACTGTTAGAGGTCCCACAAGAGGACCAATTACACAACCATCACATATATGCAGAGATCAGCCCCATACAGGCTCCCTGGTTGTTGATTTTGTATCTGTTGAGTTCCAATGAGCCAGGTTATTGATTCTGTGAGTTTTCTTGTGGTGTCCTTGACCTCTTTGGACCCTACAATGGACAAGGGATACACACACACACACACCACACACACACACACACACACACACACACTTTGGTTTTTTGAGACTGGTTTTCTCTGTATAGTTTTAGAGCCTGTCCTGGAACTCACACTGTAGACCTGGATGGTCTTGAACTCACAGAGCTCCACCTGCCTCTGCCTCCTGAGTGTTGGGTTAAAGGCTTGTGCCACCACCACCCAGCTGTGTCCTTCCATTTTTAACTGCTAGAATTTCATCTCTTCCTGGGCCACCTCTCATTGAGACGGTAGCTTTTGCTGTCCTTGTTGTAAACATTTGTTTAGTTTTACTGTATGTGCATGAGAGTCAGCCTGCATGTATGTCTGTGGGCAGCATGCACGTCAGAAGGAGGCAGTGCATTCTCTAGAACTGGAGTTACATATGGTTGTGACCACCATGTGGGTGCTGGGAACCCAACTCGGAAGAGCAGCCAGTGCTCTCGGCTGCTGAGCCCTCTCTCTGTTTCCATCTCCATCATACTGCTTTCCTGACCCCATTATTTCTTCACTCTGTTACCTTCTCTCCCCCAGAAGTTGAAAACCTTAAGAGCATGTGATGGAGCAATAGGAAGCCTTCTGCTTCTAGAAAGAGAACTCAGGTTAAAGCACTTCCCCCTCAGCATAACACACACACACACACATGCAGGCATATGCAGGCACACACACATACACATACATACTACACACACAGACACTACACACACATTCACACACAATGCTACACAAAAAAACACACACAGAGACACTACACACATGCACAAAGCACACACACTGCATACACATACAAAAACTCACCCAAGAGAGTACACACACACAAACACTCACACAAACACACACACAAACACAGACACACGCACAAACACACATACTGCACACACTGCACACATACACAGAGTACACACACACAGCACACACAAAAACACATAAACACAGATACAGACAGTACACACACACACACACAAAAAACTAGTTGTGGAAGAGAATTAAAATTGTCCCTTGTTGCTGGGTGGTGGTGGCTCACACCTCTAATCCCAGCACTTGGGAGGCAGAGGCGTGCAGATCTCTATGAGTTCAAAGACAGCCTGGTCTACAGAGTGAGTTCCAGGACAGACTACAAAGCTACCCAGAGAAACCCTGTCTAGAAAAACAAACAAACAAACAGTAGAAAGAAAACAATGAAAAGAGACAATGACAGGGAGGGACACATCAGGTGCATATTCAGGCATGGCAACAGGGACGTCACAAAGAACAGGAAGACTGTCGGACACCGAGATGGTTGGAAGGCTAATGCTCTCTCTGCCAACCTGGATGAGCCGAGTTAGATTTTGGAACCAGCAGAGGGTTGTGAGAGAACTGATTCTTGTAAGTTGTCCTCTGCCCTCTGCATGTGTACCATGACATTCATGCATGGGTGCATACACAAAAATAAAAAGTAAGGTCAGTCACAAAAATCAACAAGTATCAACTGAAACAACAAAGTGCTGTTTGTAGTTTAAGAGGTTGACAAAACCAAAAACCAGAGTCAGTAGAAACTTCTAGCCCTGGGAACTCTGCTGTGTGTTGCAGATAGGACTAGAAACAGGTATAGCCAGTCACAAAGCCTGACAGACGAAAGATGAACCCTCTTCAGCTCTGCAGTTCTGCTCCTAAAATATCCATTTAAAGCATGCATGTATGCATGGACTGCATATGTACACACTCATACACATACCATTAAAAATAAACTGTAGATCAAAGGAGGAAGCAGAACAGACACCACTGTCTGTGTAAAATGTAAGGTAATATAAACCCGTGTGCCACCCTGCTTAAGGACATGTGTGTAGTAATACTGCCATGGAGGTAAAAGAGTCCAGCCCGTTCGATTGCATTCGAGATGGTTGATATACGCAGAGAGGGGAGAAGACAGTTATGATAACGTCTGCTTCATTCATTGGATGGTGGAAACACAGAACTCATTGCAATGATATAGACTAGGCCATTAGATGTAAGTATATGCCGGTCTTAGGGCTTCTATTGCTGTGGAGAGACACCATGACCATGGCAACACTTACAAAGGAAAGCATTTCATTGGGGCTAGCGTCCAGTTCAGAGGGCTAGTCTATTATCATCACAGTGGGAAACAAGACGATGGGACAGGCAGACACGGTGCTGGAGAAGGGGCTGAGAGTTCTATCTCTTGATCCACAGGCAACCGGAAGTGAACTGGCTTGAGCTTCTGAGACTTCAAAGCCCAACCCCTAATGGCATATGTCCTCCAACAAAGCCACACCTATTCCAAAAAGGCCACTTAATAGTAAGGCTCCCTATGGTGTTTTATTCAAACCACCACAATACCCTTAAAACATTTATTTTAATGTTTAAATTATGCGTGTGTGTCTGCGTGGGGGGTGTGTGCACATGAGTGCAGATGACCACACATGCCAGAAAGGGGCATTGGAGCCCCTGGAGATGGAGTTAAAGGCTGATTTTATCTACCCCACATGGGTGTCTGGGTGCAGAATTTGGGGTCTCTGCTAGAGTATTACATGCTCTTAACTGCTGAGCCCCAACTCTAGGTAGATTCCTATTGCTTTCATAAAATCCTGTGACCAAAAGCAACTTGGGGAGGAAGGCCTTATTTCACCGTGTAAACTATTACTTGCCATCCTGGTAAGTGAGGTCAGGAATTCAAAGCAGATACCATGGAGGGGTGCTGCTTACTGGCTTGCTCCCCATGGCTTGCCTAGTCTACTTTCTTACAGCCACCAGGGCCACCTGCTCAGGGGTGAGCTCAGTGGAATGGGCCCACTCACATCAATCATTAATCAGGAAAATATCCTACAGACTTGCCTGTGGGCCCATCTGATGAAGGTATTTTCTTAAAGATTCTCTCTTCCGGGCCGGGCATTGGTGACACATGCCTTTAATCTCAGCACTTGGGAGGCAGAGGCAGAGGCAGGCAGATCTCTGTGAGTTTGAGGCCAGCCTGGTTTGCAGAGCGAGTTCCAGGAGAGTCTCTAAAACAATATACAGAAACCCTATCTGGAAAAACAAAAAAAAATTCCCTCTTCTAGGGTCTGCAGAAATGGCTCAGAGGTTAAGAGCACTGACTGCTCTTCCAGAGGTCCTGAGTTCAATTCCCAGCAACCACATGATGGTTTATGACCATCTATAATGAGATCTGGCGCCCTCTTTTGGCTTGCAGGCATACATGCAGGAAGAACATGGTATACATATATGTAGATAAAATATCCATACATATAAAATAAACAAATCTAACATTAAAAAATTCAAAGCACCAACCCCCCCTAAAATATGCAAAACCCAAAAAGAACAACACAGCTAACACATGAACCAGTGATACCATTTCTGGGCATTATCCAAGGCAATTGTCATCAGTTTATTCTTTATTGTTGAGTAAAACTAGCAGTAGCTGGACGTAAGGAAGCCAGGCTGTCACAAAGCACACGATGTGATCGTTCATTCTGCAGAGACCACCCATCCAAGCTCGGTCAGCAATTCCAGCCTCCGCCTTTACCTCACAGACTGCAGAAGACAGTGGTGCGATCTCAGCGCCCTACACAGGAATTTCATGGCCTTGCCTGCCAGTCTTGTGTGTTCTATCCCCAGCTGTCGCAGATGCTGGTTTTCAGTCAAAACACAGGATAGGTCTTCACACTACGTGTGACTCGCATGCCTCAAACTGGAGGATGAAATGCATCCCATTTCTAAAGGGCTTCAGTGACCTTGCATATGCGTGAGTGTGAGGTCGGCACTGGAAGCCCTCCTCATTCACTCTCAACCTTATTTACAGAGGTTTTCTTTTTATTCATGCATGCATGGGAGTGTGTGCCAGAGTGGGTATGTGAACCAAGTGTTTGCAGGGATCCAAGGAGACCATCAGGGAGCATCAGTTTCTGCAAGGTTTCAATAACCTTGATCCCCAAGCCACACAAAGACACAACTAAGAAAGAGAACTTCAGACCAATATCCCTCATGAACATTGATGCAAAAATACTCAATAAAATACTGGCAAATAGGATCCAAGAACACATCAAAACAATCATTCACCATGATCAAGTAGGTTTCATCCCAGGGATGCAGGGATGGTTCAACATATGGAAATCCATCGATGTAATCCACCATATAAACAAGCTGAAAAACAAAATCACATGATCATCTCACTAGATACAGAAAAAGTCTTTGACAAAATCCAACACTCCTTCATGATAAAAGTCTTAGAGAGATCCTGGATAACAGGAACATACCTAAACATAATAAAAGCTATATATAGCACACCAACAGCCAACATCAAACTAAATAGACAGAAACCGAACGCAATTCCTCTAAAATCAGGAAATAGACAAGGATGTCCACTCTTTCCATACCTTTTTAATATTGTACTTGAAGTTCTAGCTAGAGCCATACGACAACAGAAGGAGATCAAGGGGATACAAATTGGAAAGGAAGAGGTCAAACTTTCACTATTTGCAGAGGATATGATAGTTTACATAAATGACCCAAAGAACTCTACCAGGGAACTCTTACAGCTGATTAACACCTTCAGCAAAGTGGCAGGCTACAAGATCAACTCAAGAAAATAAGTAGCCCTACTATATACAGATGATAAAAGGGCTAAGAAAGAAATCAGCGAAACATCACCATTTATGATTGCCACAAACAACATAAAATACCTTGTGGTAACTCTAACCAAACAAGTGAAAGACCTGTATCGCAAGAACTTTGAGTCTTTAAAGAAAGAAATTAAAGAATCCCTCAGAAAATGGAAAGATCTCCTATGCTCTTGGATAGGTAGGATCAACGTAGTAAAAATGGCAATCCTGCCAAAAGCAATCTACAGATTCAATGCAATCCCCATTAAAATACCAGCGCAATTCTTCACAGACCTTGAAAGAACAATAACCAATTTTGTATGGAAAATCAAAAGACCCAGGATAGCCAAAACAACCTTACCCAACGAAGCAACATCTGGAGGCATCACCATCCCTGACCTCAAGATCTATTATAGAGCTGTAGTCCTGAATACTATTTGGTATTGGCACAAAAATAGACAGATAGACCAATGGAATCGAACTGAACACCCTGATATTAACCCATACATGTATGAACATCTGGTCTTCCAAAAAGAAGCTAAAAATATACAATGGAAAAAAGAAATCATCTTCAACAAATGGTGCTGGCATAACTGGATGCTGGCATGTAGAAGAATGCGGATAGATCCATGTCTATCGCCAAATGGATCAAAGACCTCAACATAAATCCAGCCACACTGAACCTCTTAGAAGAGAAAGTGGATGGTACCCTTGAACAAATTGGTACAAGAGACAGCTTCCTGAACATAACACCAGTAGCACAGACAGTGAGGTCAACAATTAATAAATGGACCTCCTGAAACTGAGAAGCTTCTGTAAGGCAAAGGACAGT